CCATCAGGGTCCAAATGGCAATCCTAGTTAAAGCCTTGATTTCCAGAAAAAATACTCTTCACATACAAAAAAAAAAAAGGCTCCTTGTACTGTGACACAGCTCAGAAGAAAAATTTAAGGAGAATCTGAAGTATTATTTATAAAGTTATGTAAGCGGCTACAAGTTCTTAAGTATTTTCTGAAAAAATGCAACCCCTGCTCCACTCCTGATGTATGACATGTAGCTTAGATACAAGAAGAACGAGATACAGGGGAAAGAAGCAGAGAATAGAGAAGAGGACTAAGAGAACACTTCTTACTGAAATTAGTTAAGGTGCAGTTTCCTTGGAAGGGTAAATTTGAGCACAGTCAAAGAGGAATAGGAACTGTTTAAACCTATAAAAGTGGATATTGTTAAAATATCATTAATATGTTACGGTCAAAGTCTGAAGCTTCACAGAGGCACCATTCTGGACCAGCCTTTAACACAGCAGATGAAGCAAACATAGAGAAGCCCACAGCCAAGGTTCCGAGGGGAGGTCTGCCATGGCTGCACCACACTGGATTTGCTGAGCCCAGGGACAGTTCCAGCCGTGTTTCAGCATCAACGGGCTTCTCCCCAGGCTAATGCTGCATTAGGTGGGGACGTGCCAGCTAACGAGGCAGAGTACTGGAACCAGCATGGGGCTGTCCTCGGCAGCAGACACCTGGCATCGCCTCTCCCAGCCCTGGATTACTCCTCCACCCTAATGACCAGGATTCTGCCAGCTGCATGTTGAGAGCCAGCCTGATTAATCAGGAACACTTCACATTCCAGAACAACATGGTTAAAATCTCCCTCTAGAGCAACTGAGTTTAAGTTGCCCGTTTTCAGAGCTATTGACTGTTCCTGACACTGTACACCAGGTAGAGCGTCTCCTGCTTTTATAAAAGCTCTAAGCACCCTCCATATCCAGCAGCCTACATGACAGCCAAACTGTGTGAGCAGCTCACCCCCAGCAACAACAGCTCGAAGCAAGCCTAGATGACTGAACATGAACCAGCCTTAGGATTTACATACTGTTGCAAAGTAGTTTTGCATTTGGGGGTGATAAGAGGTACACAAAAAATGGGACAGGCACATCAGAAACACCAATGTATAACACTTCTTTTTGGTTCTCTTCATAACACCTATGGGAGAGTAGCAAGAGCCAGATTATTTGTTCCTCCCTCCATCCCAAAACCACCACAAGTAAACTGTCTTTAAATCCCAAGTTAATGCTGAAGTGGGAGCTTACTAAGTTGCAGGGCCTGGGTAGCATTGAGCTTGAACTGTTTTCCTGATGAGATTGGATGCAGCAAGGGTAGTATGTGGGGGTCTAACAGCTGAAGGGCTTCTTCTATGGACTTGGGGTTTGAACCACAGGTACATCAAGCAGCAGCTGTTACTGCTGTATCTGGGCAGCCTTTGAAGGTAACAGTGACATCTGCCCTATCTGTCAGAAAATAATCTTAGCATGGTTTGATGAATGCTGAAACATCTTCCCCTTCTCTAGGCCATGTGCCTTGCTCCACAATCACCATCTCCAGACATTTCAGCTGATTTTGTTCTGTCCAGGCAGGGTGGTGGCACACAGGAAAACCAAACCTTAAGTCTGCATTTGACCGACCCACACTCACCAACAGCCACAGGCAATGGTGCTGTAGGCTGTTCACACAGAACTGGCTTGTGACCCAGGCTGCGATGGCTGAGGCTCCACTCTTGGCAGCAGGTTTGTTCTATAATAACTGCTAGATTAAGATTAGCATCTAAGGATGACACGACCTTCAAGGTCCTCACAGGAAGTACGCTAACCCACCTCCTGCTTAGCCTCAGTGCATCCCCAAGCACATCCCCTACGGCACAGTGACAGGAGCTGCTTAAGGAGCAGCCAAGAAGAGCCAGTTGTTGTGCTCTGTCCACCAGGTTTCAACTGAACACTACAAGGATCTTGAAGAAGAAGGAACAGGGCAGGCTACCTGCCACTCCGACAAGTCATACCTGCCAAATGTTGCCATGCTGAAGGAGTGCAGCCATCTCTGCCCCTACCTGCCATGACAGATAGTATGGCAAAGGAATCTAGTCCAAAAGGAACATGGTTTCTTTTAAAAGAGCTACTTTTCAAAATGTGTTGGGAGGCTTACACATTGGTCCTCAGCAGGCAAGATGAACTAGATTATCTCTCTTTGGACCCCAGAAGCCCCACAGAGAAAACTGCAGTGTTTAGCTTGCTAGAGAGATACCCAAATTCTGGGCACAGGGACAAATTATATAATTAGGTCTCCCAGACAAGTAAGCTTCATCCTCTGCTGTGTCCTGTCCCCATGTCCTATAATCCCTTTATAGGATTTCTCTGGCTACGAAGGGCTAGAAGAACCAGTATCACCACAGCGTCAATGTAGGAGGATATTTGTTACCCAGCTAATCTCTCCAGAGTCCACTACAGAGGAGGATAAACTCATCTAGAGAAGTAGTCAAAGCACCTCATGTTTGCCTGCACAATTTGATTTTTTTTAAACACTGTTGCATCCAAGCCAGGTAGGTGAATATACTGATGCAATTATCTGCAGGCAGCTTGGCACAGATGGTCCCCAAGAAACAGAGCTAAACAGCAGGGATTTATATTTAATGATGAGCCAGGCCCTCAGTGAGGCAAGTCAGCAAGACCCCACTGAAGGCAGCGGAGATCAGCCGTGCTCACTCAGCTCCGTGCACTTCTTCCACCGGCCAGCAAGGCACAGCCTCCCTGCAGAGGGCCAGGATCAGTGACTCCAGCAGCAGTGATGTCTGACCTTGCATCCCCCAAGAGCTTGAGCTCTGTGTAGCTTGATAGAAAAGCACTGCCAAACCTCTTGTATCTGGCACCATCTTTCTGAGACTAAGCACTAGGAACTGCAGTTTTGAGGGAACAGAATGGAACAGAGGGAACAAGCTTCCAAATGCCACTCCACCATGAGGATGTGGTACCCCCTAATTGACATTACACAGAGAAAAAGATGTTAAAGAGCAGAGTTGCAGCTCAAAAGCTTCCTTTGTGCTTAACTGGGGCAGCAGCATCCCTGGGCAGAAAGCCTATCCCCAAGTGTTATTTGTCCCATTTTACAAAGTGTGGATTGGTGATTCCAAACACCAGAAAAACAGCTGGCTCGCTGCAGTAAGGTCTAGGTTGAACTGAAGAAATTCAGACCACAAAAGCTGTGCCCGTTGTCAAAACCACACAGCAGAGACCCATGTCCCTGGATGACTGGCACCTGCAGAGCCATAGCTGAGAGCCAAGAAACCCACAGCCTTCTAGTTGAGTCATCATCATTTAGGAAAGCTGGTCCTAGCTACAGCCCACATTTGCCCTTAGAGTAGCTTAGAGCATATTCAAGAGCAGAGAAAACAGCCCTGTGGCTGCATAAGAGAGCTCAGTAGGAACCCAAGAAAGTTGCAGTGGTACTATGTCAGAGCAGATTTTTAAATGCCTCTGCAGAAAGCCCCAATTAAATGGGGAGAGACCAATGCTCAGTTGAAACAAAAATCCCTCTTATCTTCCTATGCAGAAAGCCAGGCTTCTAAAGGAGATCCCAGAGGGCTCAGAAACAGTTTAGCTTCCTGAATCATACTGCTCTTGCTAAGCAGAGACCTCATTTCCCAGGCTGAAAGATCAGGTTTTCCCCTACACATGCCCTTCCTCCCCTGCTGCCACCCTCCCACCATCAGCACGACATCCTTGCATTGCCAGATACATGCAAGACTCATCGTGGCAAGGAGTGAGCGCTGCAGCTGAAGGCCTGGAGAGCTCATGGCAGGCTTCGAGCAAGCTGCAAGCCTGACAGGGCAGGAGCTGCAGCACCTCACATGCAGTGGGGAGGGCTCCCAAGCTTCTGCTGTCCTCTAAACTTAACAAGAGTGAGAGTTATTGCTTCATGCAGAGAAAAGATGCTGATTAGCTGTTGTCTATGGCACCCTACCTCTATCAGAAGAAAAATACCATCTGGCATGCCACCCCTGGAGAGCTGCCAACCTTTGCAGTAAAATACGAATGCAAGAGAAGGTCAATATAAAGGAAGGGGAACAAAACAGGCAGAAAGATTAATCCCTGCCAGGTGGTGTCAGTCCAGACACTGGAGTACAAAACTGGATGGATGAGCAAGCAGGGAAGCGTTTAAAGTAGGAGAAAAAGCAAGCAGCAGAAGTGAAACAATTCTCTGCAGGAAAATCACAGATGAGCCGAAGAGGTAACACATCTGAGGTGCAGACCAAGTCCAGAGTAGGATCTTCACCTAAGCCTCTCTTGCTGGGTGTTTGCCCAGGTAGAATATTCATCACTGGGTTTCAACTGTCTGAAGACAGTCAGGTAGAGACCCCAAGACTGGCAGTGGGCAAAAGCAGTTTAAGAGAAGGGAGACCAGGTGTGTGAGGCAAGCCTGGAGGAGCCAGCGATGGAACAGCAATTTAGCAGGTAGCTGAGCTAGAATAGCATCTCATAGGGGATGCATTCTTCACCTCTCCCAGCAGTGTCATATAGGGAGTGTAAATAGGGTACCACTTGTCCTGGTAAGGTTTCAGCCAGCTGGACACTGAGGTAGCCATCTCATGCGGAACATCCCCCTGCATTGCATGTGGCAAGAATTTCAGCAGCAGGGAGGCAAGGGCCCCCAGCTGTCCGAACATGTTCCCATGAATGTTGCCTGGTACAGAGGCTCTGCACACACCAGCAGTTACACATGCAGTGCCAGACTCTACTGCAACAGCAATAGCACTGCTGCTCCCTCTCCAAGGGAAAACTCCATCCCTGCCACCACAGCCACTGGTATTTCAGGCATCCTCCATGACACTGTTCATTGCTTGCTTCCTGTACCTCCCAGAAGGGGACAGGTTATTCAACAACTTTATTAAGAACAATAACATATGCACATAGCTGTGTGCTACACAGACAAATTGGGGACTCAGTGTCAAGGCAAGTGTGCCACTCCACATGAAAGTGCCTGCCTCTTATCCTTGGGATCAGCAGTACCTTCTGACTCCAGGCGGTCCAGCCCATAGGTCACAGCTGTACTGATCCTCCTCACAGGTGGAAGAGCTGTCCTCCTGACAGAAGATGCCACTGATGCTGGAGTTACCAGGACTACAGATCTGCCGGATGGCTCTTCTGTCTGTCCAGACTGGGTAGCAGACAACTCACCAGGAGCTAGAACAGCTTTCTCACTGGTGACCAGGACCACCTCTGTGAGATCTATAGAAGACAAGAGGCAGCAGCAGTTTGGCACAACAACATTAAAACCCCATCATTTAAGAATAAACTCCTTAATGAAAACTTAACTCAGTGGAAGAAATTATTAAAAACTCTTGCCTCTTTCAAAATGTGGAAATGACTGCTGCAATGAAAGCTTCTCCAAGACAGCCAGCACAGGAGGTTCCCCTTAATGAGAACTCAGCTAGATTTTACTTCCACTGCTTTGAGGACTGCTAGTCACCACACCATGGCAAGATCAGAGCACAGAGACACTGTTTGTATCTGAACCAAGTAACAGATCCAATTGTTTATTGCAAAGATAAAAATTACTTGAATTTATATTAAATCCCAGAAGCAAACTAATTAGTAGAAACTGCCTGAAGAGCCTCCTATTCCCTACAAATGGACCTTAATTTAAGAGTTACAATGCAAAGAGGGTTTTCCTTTTGATGCCCTGCAATATAAGAATTACCTCAAAAGCTGCCCAGCAGCAGTTGCATTACAGTGGATACCTACTACTACAGAAATATATTCAAGCTCAAAGTCAGCTTTGTGCTAAGTGAACCCTTGCTATGCTCCTGTTAAGACGACTGGCTCTTACACATACCTGCCAAGGTGACATCAAGCCAGTATGCAGCAGCCATACAGCATTTTTGTTTGAGCTACATCAACCTGAGAAGAACTCACTGTTCCTCAATGGAAATGACTATCAATGCAGGCTTCCACACCCAAGGGCTTCCCAGCCTTTTGCAAGAGGGTGTCTATTCCCCCATCACAACTTTCATGTTACCCTGATGAAACATTTTCATCCTTTGGACTGAGCATCAGCAATCTGCAACTGCCTTTGGCTCCAGAAGTAAGAGCTCTCCCTCCATAAATAAAAACTGGCTTAAATATTAAAGGTTAAAAGTCATCTTTCTAGCAAGGATAGATGTGAAGATTTTGTTTGTTTGTTCTACTTCTCTTATTTGCCCCACTTATTTGGGGCAAAAACATATGCTGGCATATTTCACTATTGTGAGTCTGGTGGCATGGGCAGAAAGCAGTGGCAGCCCAGGGCTAGCCTGCAGAAGGCTAGAAAAAAGTCACTTAGAATATGGATGCTGTGTGTTGAGACATTGGTGTCCAAGCACTGGTATTGGTTTCAGATGTACTATCTCACCTTGTGTGGGAAGGAACCCACAGTCCTTGAAGCAGAACCCTACCTTCTACATCTGGAGTGTTCTCCACAGAGAAAGGACCAGTTACCACCAGCATCTGGGTGGCACTAGGAGCAGTCGGCATCTGGGTGTCCTCTCCACTGTTCTCCTGTGGAAGACTGGCAGCTCCTGCACCCTGGGTAGCACCAGGCAACAGTGTCACAACTGACAGAGCAGCATTGGCCTCCTGGGCAACTGTCATCACCTCCTGAGTAACACCTACAGCAAGAACATGTGTCAGTACCAACTCACAGGACCCCAACAGCAACAGAGCAGATATTTGAAGGATTATAACTCCATGCATTTCCAGAGCCTCAGCACAAGCAGCAGGTTCAGCCAAGTACCATCAGGGCAGCATAGCATAAAGACAGATGTGAGAGCATGCATAACAGGAATGAAAGCTGCAGAATCAGTCCTCATTTTCTTAATTGGCCCTTTAGGAACAGGTGAACCCACTGGGGAGCAACACCATGGGAACACAGCACTGCAGGCCCATGGTGTGAAAGACCATTTAAAGCAAGTGAGGCTGCCAGCAGAGCTTTTAGTGACCAGTTCTCACGGCTATGAGATTTCAGCTTTGTAGAAGGGTTTGTTTGTGTTGCACAAGTCTTATTGATAAGTGTTGTTTCCCCAACATCTGAGAAACGGCAGACAGGGAACCTGCTGACAAGTCAAGTGCTTATAAATTAATCACTGAAGTTCCAGCACCAGCATGCAATTAGCTTTCCTCCTTTTACAGGAAATACTACATCTTTTAGAATGCAGTGAGGGAATTTGTCCTTTTGCCTCTGTAGCCTAAGAGGGAAGATTAAAGACGCCCAGCAATTAAAAAAAAAAAAAAGTCTTAAACCCTAGCTGATGTTCCTCATCAGCCTAGGAACATGTCATTGCCCAACACCTGACCAGACTTTTTTAGTATTCCTCCTATGTTTTAAACACTGAGTAGAAACATTGTCTTTAGGTTGAAGGTGGTATCTCTGCAGGTGAGTACAGTACAGGGTGACACTATGAGCCTGTGGCAGGCTGTCTAGGAAGAAAAGATTTGCACCTTCTGGTAACAGAGTTGGCAGAAACTGGACAGTCAGAGCCTGGCCACAGCTTCATTCTAGGGTGAGGAGACAATACCGGGAGCTTTTGTTAAAGGACAGCACAGAGCTCTGGACAGATTTTTGACCCGAGAACCCTTGTGGTCATGGAAGGTGTCAGTTACAAGCTACTGGTACAGTTCATCTGTTCCTGGATTTAGGAAGTATTTACAGCCATCCCCTGTCTCTGCATCTTCTGCACTGACTGTAAGTGGCCATAGCTAGTAGTTGAGAGCCAAATGATCCCAGATGCTAATTACCAGCCCACTCTTTTGCAGGTCTTCAGAGCAAGCTAGAGTCCTTGCACTTGACATATCAAAGGGACACTTGGCAGAGTGTTATCCTCCTTAAAATAAAGTTTAACCAGTGGGTCAGAGGCTGGGCTCCCTCCCTAGTCATAGGAGAGGCATACCTGAGGGTTATTCAAAGCAGATTTACATAGCTCTGGTCAAGGCAGGATGCCTACCACCAGACATCTGTCCACCTCAACTGCCATGTGAGCACCAAAATTGAAGCCCATGTTTTGGTAGCACACCACACACGCGGAACATTATCAAAGAAAGTTTTTTAACTAGCACCAAGTCTCTGCTGCTGAGACTCCAATTCTTTAGAGACCTCCATACTCAAGTACACCCTTCAAGCCAGTCTCAGCTTTCTTGTTTGCTATTACAGCCGCCCTCTCCCAGCCTGAGGAGCAGAAGAGGCGGTTCAGTAGAGCTGTTTCACATAAGTCAGGACATGGTACCACTTAACAGACCGTGCCTACCTGTATGCAGGTACATTGTGTAGAGGAACAGCCAAGGCTAAGCAGTATTTCATGCACATGAATTACCCGGTTAGGCTGTACCCCTCCACAAAGATCTATAGCCTTTCCAGGTAGGGGGTGTGTGTGGAGAGGTGTCCTCCCTCTATTGCAGGTATCAAGCTCACACCTCTCTCTACTTTATCTCCCTGAAAGGAAGCACGGATTCCCAAGAGCATCCCTTCTAAACCTACACTTAAGAGGCAAGTGTCTGCAACAGGCAAGTTACCTTTCCATGAGCTTTCCAGAGTAGGAGAGAGATCAGACTGTGTATCTGTCACCACAGCAGCCTCTGGCAGTGACGGCAGGATGCTTTTCCCCTCCTCTGCTGTGACTGCATCTATATTTTCCAGTGAGTTGAGATCAGCCATGTCTACATCCATCAAGGTTGCGGTTTGGAGAGCATCACTGCTGCCTGTGGAAGCTGCTGGCAACTCCTCCCCTTGCACCGGCGCTGTGCAGTTGCTCTCCTTGGCAAGCTCAGGAGTTGGTGGAGAGGACACTGGGGATGGCAGCACCCTTGTTACAACCTCTTCCTCCCCCACACCTCCCTGTGGGGTCTGGGATGGCTCTGTTGTCCCCAGGTCCTCTGTTACCTCCTCATGAGACGTGCTTCCCCCTTGACTTATGTCCCCCAGTTTCGTGTCATCCCAGTCAGGTGGCACAGTGTCCATAGGGTGGATGGTGACAGTGCCAGCCATGGTGGGCAGCTCTCCTCCCCTGACATCCATCCCTGCCTCCAGACGGGTGGAGGCCTCGGTCACCACGAGGGGATGTTTTGCAGCCACAGATGCTTGCACAGCCCAGGACTTCAGAGGGCTCCCTGTGTGGGCTCTTGGTGTTCCCACCTCAGAGGCCACACCATGATCCTGGGGAGTTGGGATGACAGGGTGGTCGCTTGCTGTTTCCCAGCTGGGAGAGCTGGGGTACAGTGTGGGCTGGGGCACAGCTAAGGGGTGCAAGTTGCTCTCTGCCTCCTCCTCCTCAGCTGTCCCAGAAAGGGGGGTTGCTGTGAGGCTGGCAGAGCTGTGCTCCACTTCAACACCACCCTCTGTGGTGGTCTCACTAATAGGGTCGCTAACAGACTCCTCCTGGACAGCAGGGTTCAGTGTGGTCACAGCTGTGGTCAGCATGGCCTTGAATGCATCATCCTCATCCAGCTCTGACTTTGTGGGACCAAGCTCCTCTTCATCTACAGCAGCCACTGCCACAGCAGAGGTGTGAGCACTCAGGCCCTGGCTGCCTGGGATGACATGGCTCGGGCTTACGGGCAGCATTTCTCCTTCTGCAGTGAAAGCTTCATTTAAGGGCATCCCAGATGGCTTCACTGACACTCCACGTGGCTCTTCAGAGACTGTCTGCTCAGACGGGCTCAGGTTATTTTTCAAGTTCAACATGCTTGTCCTTTCATCTTGTAACCCATTCCCTGCCCAGGAGCCCTGCTGGACCTTTGTCATGTCCCTCTCCTCCAGCAGCGGAGATGCAAGGCATGGTGGACTGGAGGACAAGAGCAGGATGCTGCAGGTGACGACACAGATGTCCAATCCTATTGATCTACTCATAGCTGAGAAGTGATGTGCCCAGAAGCCTGCAAGCCTGAAAAGTCCAGAGTGGAAGACCTAGAAAAGGAAAAAGTAACCAAGATTACACATATCCATAAGCACTTATGGACTCAGGGCCTTAAATAACAGAGTGACAAGTTCCAAACATGCTAGCCTATGGCCAGTTCTGAGCAGATCCCTCCTACACATCCCAAGCAGTGGGTCCCTCCATCTGTTTCACTGTTCCTAGCCTACCCAATCTGCAGTCTCATGCCAGACAAAACCAAATCTTGATCTGAAGCCCAAGACAGACCTTGCCAAGCTCTCGCCTCAGCAGGCATCAGACCTGCAAGCCTAAGTTGAGGATCAACCCATTTGTCCTTTACCAAGTCCAGGATTGATGCTGGTCAGGGCTGTTCAGACTGAAGTATCAGGCCTGTTACGGCACACCCTGTTCTGTGCACTGACAGAAGGAGACCAAGGAGCTTGCACAGAGAACAAGGTGGGTTTGTAAAGAAACAACACAGGAGACTTCAGGCCTGTATTAGTGTCCTGTTCAGCAAGAGCTCCTTGTCCCCACAGCGCAAGGCCCAGACACCAGCACGGCTGCATCAGCACAGTGTTTATGCTGCACTGCACCAGAGGCACTTCCAGAAAGTTTCACGTGTCTAATCACCGTGTGCTTTGAGAGTTTCCAAGAGAGCGCTGAACCAGTAGCCCAGCAGTGATCCAGCCGGCCGACAGCCCGCTCTTGGCAGGGTCCGCTGCCTCCAGCCACCGAGCTCAGGCTGCCGGACAGATGGACGGCCTGGCAGCAGCCTGCTCCCAGCCGCCTCGGTCCCGGCCTGGCAGCAGCAGCAGGCCAGGCCATCCCACCCGTCACAGGCCGGACGGCCGGTCACACACACAGCAAAGAGCCCTCCACCACGCAGGCCTGGCGAGGTCCTGCCTTCCAGCCTGCCCATGACACAATCAAACCCTACTGCAAGGAGCCTCCGACCAACAGCTTCGCTTGCTTGGGCTGGCATTCTCACCTTCACAAGCGAGCTGCTCTTGCCTTCGAGCCACAGGACTAATGAATGTCAGTGAGGAAAGAGGCTGGAGTTGTCAGAACCAGTCCTCAGTCTTCCAAGGAAGAGCAGAGATCACCCTCTGCAGTCTTGCTCACGGGCATCAGGAGTCCCTCAGCTTGCTAGGCTCCTCGTTTCCCCATCCAAACAGCACACAAATAAATATTACTTGCACACATACAGCGCAGCAGCAAGCCACCTAGCACTGCTTTGTTACACAAGGGTGTATCAACTCCTTACGCACCCATGTGATGCTGTGCAAGAGGCAACCAGCGTTGTGGGGAGAGGGAACTCAGTAATACCACATTGGTACTAGTTCTAACTCAAAGGTCCTTTGTGTCCTGCTGCTTATGTACATTTGTCTCCTTTTGGAAATTGCTACTGTATGTGTCCAGTCAACTAAACACAACTAAGACATCAAAAAGCTTGTATCTGGTCTGTTCACACACAGCTATGTGGATTTCCATTGGAAACACATACCTCTTATGCCACATGGGAAAAAGAAGACTTCTCTAGCTGAAGACCCCTATGATCTGCAGGGCTGGCCGTAGCACAGAAAACAACCTCTGCATTACCAGCTTAGAGACACACAAGTCAGAGTCAACTACTGCAGGCTCTGTTATCTGGTTGAGCCTTCAGGGCACACCAAGTCACTTTTTCCACTCTCCCTGCAGCCCTGGCCCTCTGCCATTATAGCTGCTGAAATAAATCCCTGTCACAGGCCACACACATGCACCAGGTGCTCAGGGACAAACAGAAACCACCAAGCTGTTCAGCTGCAACAACATAGATACCTTCCACTTCATTTTCAAGCATCTCCTTTCTCTGCAGGATGGGTGGCCACCCATCTATGTCCTCTGCCATCCCTGTCCACGAGAGTCGAAAACTGACAGTATTCAGCTATTTTTCCAGGCTAATCCTTTAGACACTTTTGTAATTAAAAAGCACTAAGAGTATGTTACACAAGTTAAATTGCTAGTGCCCAATGACATGCAGCTGCCTTGCTACGCTGATGAATATAAATTATGTTCCCTTCACTCTCCTTTAGCAAGTGCCAGTTAAGATCAGACATATTGAAACATCAAGAGGGGTGGGTTTTTTTTTTAAATAAAGACCAGTTTGGATCTAAATACAGTTTCTCTAGAAGTCTAGAGTCTTTTTAGGCTACAGAAGTAGTTTTAGCAGTAGTTAAACCTAAACAGAACTCCAGCTGCACTTGAAAGACAGCCATAGCATTTATCCTGCAGTCATATACGTTATGCATATGCACATATGTATGTACACTTGTAGGTTTCTAGCTCTAGGTTCTCAAACAGCCTAAAACATTCAGGAGGTGGTTAGAAGTACAGAAACATTAATCGCTTTCTTCCCAAGAAGCTTACTCCATCTTTAGGATCAGGAGTCTCGGTGAGTAAGAGGAAAAGCTGCTCACTAAAAGGCTGGCTTTTAGAGATCTATTAATTAAAACATTTTAAAAAAAAAAAAAGTATTAAGAGCCTTTTCTACTTCTGGTTAGTAGATAGTGTGAGCAGTCAGTACCAGTCCCATACAAGAGTTCCTGGGGTACTTTGGGCAGCTTCATACTGTTTTCTCCAGTCTGAAAAGCACTGTTGGCCATAGTCTGACATTTCTAAAGTGTGAAAATAACACTGGAGAGTTATTTGCTCATGAAATCCATAACAACTAGATCTAAGCTAACCTAGACCTCTACATTCAATGAAAGCTGGAGATAGTGGCATGGAGCTTGCTGCAGGATAATGGTACAAGTTCATGCTTCAAAGAAGATTAGTCAGAGCTTAAGATCTACTTAGCTTTAGGAAGAGGCTGGATTAGACAGTGTATGAACAGCAGTGACCTGGCTATCTTAAACAGAGTTTAACACCTTGCTGTAGCATTTACACTTACTGCAAAAGCGATAGAGGTTTTAGCAGGTAGCTGGCTGCAGAGCCGCCTGTTACTCAAGCTGCATTGGGCTATACATTTGTCCTCCCATCTGGTTATTTTTATAGTCAATCTGCTCTACAGCCCTAGCCAAGCAATAAAAGCAAGATGGAACACACTGCTCTGACCAAACACCTCCTCTGTAGTACGCTTAAGCGTTTTCATTACTAACTGTAGAATAACTCAGTATTTCATGCTGCAGGAGCTCCTTGTCCCCAGACTTCCCCTGGCACTCTCCAAGCCAAAGTTCTGGAGGACAGCTGCCAAGCACTGCCCAGGCTCCCGGTAGAAAACTAATCCTTGCTTCAAACGGGAAGTGCACACAGGGGGCAAGAGACCACGCTGGCTACTTCTCCTGCACTTAATAACAACAAATCCCAAGAGATGCAGCTCCCCTAGCTGCAAAGGCAGCACAGCTGCAGACAGCCAAGGAGCTTTATCTTCAGCATGGAAAAAAACCCTTAAATTTTCTTTTAACACCTAGTAGGCTGGAAGGAATCACAAAGGGCTGCTAAGCTAAAAACAGGTGCCCAAACAAGGCATCTCCAGAAACTGCCCATCAGAATAAGAACCATCTACTACTGTGGACAAATCGCTAAGCTGAGGGACCCTAAACACAAATTGGTCACCAACTGAAGCATTCTTGCAGACTCGGTTGGATCTTTGAGCCAGGCTGCTTCCTTGCTCCACACCATCAGCACTAGCAACAGCTATTAAACCATTAACCCCCCCTGTGAATTCTGGAGACCTTTTTGAAGAGTCAGCTCTTGGGAGGTCTGACAAAAGCCAGCTCAGAAGGAACTCCAGCCTGTTATGGTCACTCCAACAGGGCAAGGCTTGAAGGGGACAAGCACAGAGGAGACTTCCCTCATTCGATAGCTGGTTCATGCTCCAAAGGATGAAACTCTCCTCTCTGCCTCAGTGGTATGCAGCTACTCCTTAGGACAGCTTTTGAGAGATTCATCCAGCCAGCTTACTTAAAAAAACTCCCAAGAAAACCTTCTGCTGTTATTTTCTGCTTTTGGCAGAACTTTGGCAAGTTCTGGCTGTGTTTTTCCTGAATTGTCGAAACAAAAAAAAAAAAAAGCATCAAGCCTTTAACTTACTTGAATTAATAACCTTGTCCTAACAATCCCTCTCCCACACAGAGAGGACACTTGTACTCTGAAGCTGAAGTAGCTGCATGCATCATATAGCAGACAGCACAGGAGATTAACAGGTCAGCTTCAGACAAATCGCTGCCTAGCCTTTGCAGAACACATCTTCTCACAACTCCAAGTACAAACTTGATTATGCCAGCTTTGACTGGCTGAACAGTCCTAGATGTGCTTGGCTCCGCAATTCATCCGCTGATTGATAAGGGAAATGGACAAATCCGCTGCAAGTCTTTTTATGTGAAGATTTAGCCAAAACATACAAAGTCAAGCAACTGCCAGCAATCAAATGCTATGTTACCAGAGTGCTAATGTATGCTATCCAAGCCTTATTACTTGTGCTGAATACAAAAGCCAGCAGATAATACACTGCAGAGCTCCAACTCCTACTTGTGCACAGAGGCTGAGAAATGCCTTCATTTCAGCTTACATTATGTCCTTGCACAGTTCAATCAAGTGAATTGTAGAGCCAATGTTCTTATAGCACATACTTCAGATAGCTTAACTGGTTGATGTCTGTTTACCTCCAACAGCTCTCAGTGAAATCCCAACACTGACACAACTCTACGCCAGCCACCAATACAGCCCAAGTCAGATGAGCAAAATTACACAGACACAACCACGTATCAGAGGGGCACATCTGCCTCTGCCTTTGAGGACAGATCCTTACAGGCAAACAAATGAGATATTAATATTCTGTAAGGACAGCTTCCTACCAGTCCTAGTGAGGCACCTTAATACATAATACATCACCGCCACTTCCAGCACTGGTGTTCCAGCTGTAGTTCTTTGAGAAGCGAGAGACATGACATGTTTTAGGCATTATTCCCCCAACCACTAAGTGATCGCTTGCTTTGTTCAGAGCAGCGCAGACCACCTATGGAAATCCCTACTCAGATTTGCAAGTAAAAACTGCACAGTTCTTCGTGGCTTCTGACCCATGCCAGGTCCCTGGCACCACAGAAGTCAGTGGTCTACCAAATTCCTGAGGGATTAAAAAGATTGGGATATAGAGGGGGGGGAGGTATAAGAATGAGGCCAAAGGGTGCAGCAGTTTTCAAACCCCAGAAGGGTGGAAATGCTGCTCTCCAGACTGACTGGGAGCAGAGAGGCAGCGTTCAGATTCCAATCGGCAAGAAACAGTCACAGATTTCGGCGCCTCGCCTAACGCTGACAGCAACGCTGTGCAGTAGATCTCCAGGAGGATCATGAGTCTCTGCAGGTGAAGGTTTAAAATCAGATTAAATACACCTCGACAGGCCCTTTTAGCTTGGGTAGAACCTGCTTGTTGGCAAGGAAATGGGATCGGGTATGGCTCAAGGCTTGATTACGCCCAGCACGCCTGCTTGCGGGGCACAGATCCATCCTTCTGTCCTCCTCAGTCATATTTACAGGTGAGCTTAAAAAGCCAGAAGTGCATCCTCTCCCTACAGCCGCCCACCACGCCAACGGATCAAGTGCAAACAACCACCCCAGGGATTCCTCCGGCCCAGGCCCGCAGCAAGACAGAGGGACAGCGCTGGTAACACACCCTCCCCATCGCCGGGAGAAAAATCCCCCGGAGGATTTTCCGAGGAGGGAGGCGGGGGGGGGGGGGGAGGAACACCGGGACCCCCATCCCCGCAGGACAGAGAGTGAGGCAAACCCATCCCCCGGGGCTGCAGGGATCAGCCCGCTCGCCGGGAACAAAGAGCCGCGCCGAGGATGCGCTGCCCCGCGAGCAGCCAAGCATCATTAAAAAAAAAAAAAAAAACACACAACACAACAACAACAAGAAAAAAAACCACGGGGTAAATTCAGCTTGCGGGTGTTGGCCGTGTCCAGTCCCCCCCCCCACTCCCCGGTATCGGCGGAGGAGCCCAGCCCGCCCCGGCCTCACCTGCCTCCGGCCGGTCCCTCGGCGCGGCGCCGCGCTCCCCCCGCGCCCCGCGGCCGCCCGGGCGGAGCGGAGCGGGCCGGCCCCCGGCGGGCGGGGCGGGGCCGGGGCCGGGGCGGGGTCGTGGCGGGGGCCGGCCCGCTCCGCTCCGCCCGGGCGCCGCTTCCCGCCTGCCCGTGCCTGGGGGGGGGGGGGGGCTGTGTGCGCTCCCCGCCACCCCCGTTCACATTCGCTCCTTCGCCGAAAAGGAAGTTTTGGCAGTTAAGTCAGAGCCTCAGCCCACGCACCCAACTCTCCCTCACAAGCCGCCTCCCTGCCTCGGCTGACAAAAAGATGCAAGGCCTAACGGCACCGTTAGTAGTTTTCCGTCTATTACAGATTCTCCTCCAGTATTCTCGGCTGTAGAGGTCACCTTCCCCTAATACTCTCTCTGCAAAGGAGGAGGACTTCTTAAATAGTAGCCCACAGATGTATTAGGAGAGCTTATTTTCTTTTTTTTTTTTTTTTTTTTTTTTTGGTTGCTTTTTTTAAAGCACCTATTTGGCCAGGGAAAAAGGAAAGTAAACAATTTCACACCTGATCATACCCTTCTCCCACCTGTTTTTCCACCCAGGACCCCCACAGCTAGCTTAACAGAAATAGGAAACCTTTACACCCTCAGGTACCAGCATACATATCAACTCATTCCATCAAAGAGCAGCTCAGAAACCTGTCTCTCACCTACAGAGGCAAAAGGAGAGAGCAGCTTAGCATCCTCTTACCTCCCCCTTCAGCCTGGTGCAAGGGGCACCACAGGGTCTTGGGGCACACACGGGATTTTATACACTGCTCTGGGCAAGGCCTCATTCAGAGCAGTGCTGCAGCAGGTGCAGAGCGTTAGTGGTGGGCAGGGACAGGTGAGGAACAACCAAAAATAATGCTTTTTCACAGGAGGAAACAGCTGGGGTGGAGAGATCTGGGGGGAGGAATTGCTAGGAGGGAATAGAGGAATGATGTATGAGAGGGAGAGGAGAGTCCCAATCTTGACTTCGCTGTGAATGTGTTCTACCACATGAAGTAAATCAGTGAATCCCTCTGTACTTCTAGTTTTAATAGCAATCCATAAAATGAAGCTCATTTTTTTTTCAGACAAAGTGAGATTTAACTTGCTGGTACATGTCAAGCACTAAGCTCTTTAAATAAACAAGATAACTGACTGAAGAAAACTGAGATATTCCTTATCAAGAAATCGTTTATTATTTTTTTCAGTTTGTTGTGCAACTGGAAATAACATTTATGTTAGTGGTTTGCTCTCTTTGCTAGACTCACCCCAATGTTTTATCTAATTTTAGAGAAATAGAGAGTTTTCTACTGGATTTCCACTAAACTGGAACTAACCCAATTCACTTTGGTAGCGCTCTGCATCCAATATTAAAACTTTAAAAAGACAGATTTGTTGTAGGTCAGGGCAATTTCTTTCAGTGTAATATTGCTAACCTCTGCATAAGTTGAAAATAAAGTGTAATAATGCCTAAATCAGCAATAAAGGCAGGCATTGGCAAAAGACATCAGAAAGAACTTCAGAGTTAGGTTTGGTGGAGCAAATGTTAAGGAAAAACAATGGGAATAGTCCCTTCAGTTTTTGCTTATGAATTGTAAAATCTAGGAAATATTAATGAATCAGTATTTCTAGTGCTGCAGCATCTTTCTAAAAAGAATTACAAAGATGTGAGAAGAATGGATGTCTACTCTCTCCTGTAAGGGAGAGAGCGCAGGGGAGAAAGGAAGAGAGGAGAGCTGCATCTTTGTGGCCATTTGAAACACCATTAACTCCCAGATTAGGGCCCCAAAACTCTCCACAGGTTCATCTTCCATTCCACCCGTTTTATTCTGGCCGAGGGCTCTGACTGAGGGGAGGAGATGGCTCGGCCGTGAAGGAGGTGCCACCTCTGAATTTTGCCAGATTTTACAGCAAGCCGAAATCAACGAGGGTTTATTTTCCAGTGCAGCACTGCACGTTGTGGCGGGTCTGGGATTGATTCCCAAGGCGCTCAGTCATCCGTGTGCAGGGAGAGGGGCAGGACAACAGACACCCCCCTGCCAGAACCTGGGGCCGTCAGTGATGGCTCTGCCAGGCTCGAGCCAGAGGCTTGGCTTCAGGAGCTACCAAATTCACCCCTGACAGACGACCTGGGATTCAGAATGAGGGATATTGTTTTCAACGCCTTTTCTATCTAACCTTTAAAATTATCAGGAAGGTTCTTTAAAATGTAAAGCATGTGTAGCTGATGCTCTACTGCTCTCTAAGGCATGCCGAGCGCTTAATAGATTGGAGAGGTTTTCACTTCCCCCTTGTCTTTGACAGATGCTGAACCCAGATTGGCACTGTATACTCTCAAGGTTAAATATTTCACTGATAATCGCTGTAACCAAAATAGCTGGTTATCTATGTTTTCTTCCCTGTCTGAAATTGCAAATTCCCCATACACTGCAAGTTTCTCTACCCCGCATAACCTGCCAAAATCACAGGCTTCTGCATTATCAACAAAAAAAATCTGCAGACTGAAAGAAAGAGGCCTGATGAAAGAGGCAGAAATCAGATATCTCCAGAGAGCACTGTTTTGTTATTCATTTCTATGGTTTATTAATTGGAAATACTAATTTTTAACTCAGTTCAGTATGCCTCAGAGCATATACATACCTGAGCAAAACCAGCCCCACTTCCACAGCAAGTTAAGGAACATCCATTCCATTCCCCTCTTACCAATGATCTGGTTCGAGGCATTTCAGTGCAGTCCTCAATTGGTCTCGTCCTTCAAAGACTTCTCATCCCTCAGGTGAAATTCAGAGGTTAACTTCAGACGTAAGATGGTTTATTCTTCCATGCAGGTAGCATAGCTGGTAAAGAGCATGGGAATCTTGTCCCAATTCCAGCTCTGACTTGTTAGATGACTTTCAAAACTAAACCTCACCACTCTCTGCCTTCATTTCCCTTTTTGTAAAATGGAAATAAAAATACCTACATTTTGTTAAAAGTCCCTTATAAGATCTGTGTATTATTATATCATCAAACTCTTTTGTATAAAGTAATAACATAATACAGTGGATTTCCTTAAAATATGATATTCCTGTTGCAGCTTATTGCACAAACCAAAAAGTACAAATAACATGTCCTAATTAAGAAACTGGGTCACTTAAAAATTTACATGAAGACGTATTTTTGTATGTATAAAATGAACTAAAAAATCATTGTCCTGACATCAGAATACTGCATTTTACAATGCTACTCCTGGCATCTGTGATGAGATGATATCAGCTATCCTAAGTATGTCAGGACATGGCACAGAAGGTAAAGGCAATATTTAAATAGTTACCATTAATTTCGCTGCTGAGTGACTTTCCCAGATTGAATATTGGGGACATCCAGAACATAAAGCAGTGCATATCTCCATCACACAATTCACCTTTACATCAGCTGGTAGCATCTGTTTTAAGGGGACCTGCTCTTCCCATTAAACAGCAGCCATTGGAGTGGAGCAGCAATGAGTCTAAATCAGGGAAAGTGAGAACAGCATCCCCTGTTACCGAGAGAGAAGTATGTTTAAAACAAGTCCACTTTGAAAAGGGTAGCAGGAAGTTTATGGGCAATTAATTATTTCAAATGTAATCATGCTACAGATGAACAGATTTCTTTCTCTTCCAACTGCAAACCTGATAAATGCCATCTGCAATTAAAACTCAATCAAGAGAATCAACTTGGATTCCTTTCTTTTATGTTCCTCACTGCTGGCACTAACAGAAAAGCTGTGCAAGGCCAAGTGATGCCAGTGCAGCCCCACTGCTGGCTGTGATTTATAGTCAGTACTCCTACGAGGAGGCGCAGGATCCAGCTTCTGCTTCCCCAGCTCTCACGATTCTGCAGTGCTCACAGAGCAGGAAAGCCGTAAAAACTTATTTTTGTCACTAAAGTCAGCAGATGTGACTTGGAGAGCACACAGCAACCAGATCTGCTGAGTAGGAAAGTGCCATTTTTACACAGTCACTTTTCAGAGTAGAACCAGGCTTTTGCTGACTGGTCCAAGGTCATGGGAATCAGTTGCAGTTGCTCTGGGAATGCAGCCCAGGGGGACCAGTGCTCACCTCCATAACTGAAACCGGCACAGCCCTTGCTCCTTTTCATATCCCTTGACAAAATCAATGCAGTTAATATCAAAGTACACTGCATATCACAATTTTCCCTGAAATAAAGTGCTGAGGAAGCCATCCCCATGCATATTGGAGTCTCAGCTAAAACGTGAACCATCTGCCAATTCCCTGTAGTTCTTGGATATTTTTTCCCCCCCGTCCCACATACTCCACTACAAAATTAGGCTGACAATAAAAAAAGCACTCAACACATCACTCCAAAGCAAGCTAACCCTAAGCACTGTTCTGACATTATGCCCTCAGCTTCTTGAACATCTTAAATATAGGTGTTCAGATAATACCTGGAGGGACTTTGAAAACTTTAGCTTGCTTTCGCTTCTCAAAACTTAAGGATAAACCAAACCCCTGACTCCACAGGTTTTAAAGAAATGTAGTTTCAGTACTGCCACTCCATCACTCACAGTATAGCCCTTTACTAAACTAGCACAGAGGGGCTGAAAGCCCCTACCACAGGGATGAACGGGGTCTTTGCCAAAGGTAACACACGGTATCAGGACGCCTGGGCGCGAGGCAGACTGTGTTTTAGTGTGAAACAACGGTGCTCTCCATCCAGACAGCACCAATGTTTTTATTATTCCACTTTAGAGAGGATTATTAGGGCAGTACAGATGTTTTGGATGGTCACGAGCAGAGAAATACACATTTCTGTGTTGGAAATATTCCAATCAATTAAGCTGAAATCCTATAGCAGGAATCAGGCCCAGCTGTTAACAGAACCCCAAGCACTAGAAAGACTATGGCCTTCCCTCCTCTTTCTCCTTTTGGAGAGCTGCTAAGTGGATCCCCTTGAGCCCATGTGCTGGGAAAAGGTGAAGAGATACTCTCTGAGCTCCAGAGGCTGCAACAAATCATAGAATCATAGAATCGTTTAGGTTGGAAAAGACCTTTAAGATCATCAAGTCCAACTGTTAACCTAGCGCTGCCTTGTGCTTTTATTACGTCTAAAGCCGGCTCTAAGTATGCAACTATCTAATTTTGTGAGAAAAAATGGGTACATGCCTTAGTTAGCCTTTATATAGGGATTAAGGAGGCTTAAAAGCAAGTACACATACTAAGCCATCCAGTGTAGGGACACAAAAGACTGACTGTTTATTTTATGACCAAGAAAAAATAATAATGCTTTGCTGTTGAAATATGCATAGGGTTCAGTTGAAATCTGAGTCTCTGCAGGGGTCCAAACAGGCATTTCAGCATTAAAGGGAACAGAATATTAACTGGGCATGATGCCTCCTTGCTGTACCCATTTGGGCCTGCAGTGTTTATGCTGCAGGACACATTCTTTTATGTTTTCAGTGTTTGCAAGTGCACTGCAGGGATTAATTCAACTGAGAGCTGCCGTATTTCAGGACTTGTACAGAAAAGTAATTTTCTTTATGAAAAATATTCCCTTTTAACCCCCTGGGATAGTTCTGTAGCTGCCACCTTGAGGCACCAGTATTGCCTTCACCACCTCTCCTTGCGGGCATGAGCACAGTGCTGCTCTGTTGAAGCAGGGCCAGAGGAGGGCTCTGAGGATGCTGGGGGGGCTGGAGCAGCTCCCCTGGGGGGCCGGGCTGAGAGAGTTGGGGGGGTTCAGCCTGGAGAAGAGAAGGCTCCGGGGGGACCTTCGAGCGGCCTCCCAGGGCTTAAAGGGGGGGGAGGAGAGGTGGGGAGGGACTCTGGGTCAGGGGGTGGGGGTGGAACGAGGGGTGACGGTTTTATCTGAAAGAGGGCAGATTTAGATTAGATGTAAAGAAATTCTCCCCTGTGCGGGGGGTGAGGTGCTGGCCCAGGGTACCCAGAGCAGCTGTGGGTGCCCCCTCCCTGGAAGGGTTCAAGGCCAGGTTGGACGGGGCTGGGAGCCCCCTGGGCTGGGGGAAGGGGGCCCTGCCCGGGGCAGGGGGGGTGGGAATGGATGGTCTTTAAAGTCCCTTCCAACCCAAATCATTCCGTGATTCTGTGATAATAACACATCTGCATGAGATCTGAAAAGAATTTTTGCTGCCATTGGCTTGGATACCAACAGTCTTGGGAAAAAAAAAAAAAAAAAAAAAAAAAGAAAAAAAGGACTGCATTAGCCAAAAGAAACTCCTATAAATTTTCTATAAATCGGAGAGGTTTCACTGATATCAACGGGCTACTGTTGATTTCTTGTATTTTTATATACTTATGCGACCTCTTCCTTGCTTCTCAGAGGATACCACCGCTCTCAAGAGTTGCAGAAACTGGCTGCATTCAGGGAATAATATTTTATTGTGTTAGGGAGATCCTGATTTTTACTCCCCTCGACCTTCTGCTTACTAGCTGGCTTAATTGTCCTATGATCTCCTTAGACTGTGAATAATTATCTTAATTTATATTGTTATCTTGAATGTATTTATAGTCTGATTCTTACGGGTTGGCATCACCATCTGTTTCTTCAACAGTTACATATTTGGGAGAGCACGAGCGCTTTTCACATTATGCAAGCAGCTTCCTTGATTAAACCAGCACGGCGTGGATGGATTTTGTTATGAAACCCTGGCACATTTCTAAGTCTCTGGCTTCTATTATCAATAACTGCTAGGCTCTGGAAAGACCATCCATTAAATTAAGCCACTTTTAAGCTGCAGCTTGCATTTCAGAACTCACGTTAACTGTGATTGATTAAAGTAATTTAAGAAAAGATTTCCAATGGACTATAAAGACAGTGATGTGATTAGCAGTAAACTCTGATCTTTTCTAACCCAGTGATAATATGTTCAGCAGGAAGCAATGGGCTGTGTATTTCAAGGAGGGCCCATGATTTTTGTAAAACATATCCAAGTAATTATTTTGCATAAAACATTGAATTTAAAACATAAGCATAGTGTTGTAAACATCATTATGGCACAGTAAGGTACTGTAAACAGGTGAGGTTTGAGGTTGAAACAGGTGATGCAAACATTGTGCTTAGACTTTAATAATCTATTATCTAAACTTTTACTGAAGTTTTCAGACTTTAAGTATTTGAAGTGCAACAACAATAAGTGTATTATGTCTTTAGAAGACCTGTATCACAGAGATATTCAGGAACATTTTACAGAATTTAAAAGAATGAGAATTCACACGTCAGCAAGGGCATATTTTCACCAGCCTCAGTAACCGTGCAGCTTCCCTCCTGCTGTCCTTGAAAGGACCAGCGATGCCAGACAGCACTCCAGGTAGTAACTTGGGGAATTCTGGGATCATTTCCCTGACAGAAAGCCCAAACAGAGAAAAGATTCTTGAATACAATTCCCAGCTCAGTCGGGTGTAATTCTCACTGAGCATGTATTCTTGGTACACTGGGGTATTGCTCAAACATGGCAGAGTTAAGGCTCTGTTGTGAGTGAGAATGACATTTAAACATATTTTCGGGCATCGTTGTTTGCATATGCTTTAAAGTTCAACTGCATTTCCATATTCTGGAAGGACATAAAATACTAACTATAAAAAAAAACAAAACAAAACAAAACAACCCAACATTAAAAACATAAAACCACACAAAATCATAAGGCAATTTAATTTGAACTCTGTGTCAGAATGTTTAATTGCGACAGGCTTTTGTTTGTTTACTTTTTCATGTGTCAGCATCCTCCGCTGCTGCCTTGGCAATGATTCCTCCGCCTCCAGAACCCCCTGGTTTTGTGCTGGTCCCATCACTGTTTCTGCATCTCACATCACCACTACAGCCTGGTTCTTGCTCCTCGGTTTTCCTCTCCAAGGAGAGGTAGCTGACAGGATGAGAAGCTGGCAATGGATTGTATGAAGAGTGCATGGACTCGTATTGAGTTGTGGGGTAGTATCTGAAGGAGAGATAGAAGGACTTTATGAGGGATGGAAGGGCTTTGCGAGGAGTCTCCCCTGAGTTTGTCACTGCAGAGTTCCCCGTCTTCACACCTTTCTTGCATTCCCTCTGCACTGCCTGGGATTCCTCGCACGTCCTCCAGAGCCCTTCCAGGATACCCCATCTGCTCCAGCTCCTCCAGGCTGCCCTGCTGCTCTGCGCATACACATGGACCTTCTCTTCTCACCTCCACACTCTGGAAGTCACTTTGTGACCCAGGTGAGTTTAAGGAGACCAGAAGAGGTGGAAGGTGACAAGGCTGTCCCAACGATGGGCTAGTGCAGAGGTTTGCTCAGGTGACAGAGCAGATGGTGGCAGCGACAGATTTTGGTGTCTCACATCACTCCCACTCATCATCCGACTCTCCCACACGCCTCCACCTTCACAGATCTCAAATAGAAAGGGTGGATGTGGGACAAACCTCACTGCTGCAGAGTACACGGAAAGCCTAGCATCTATAGACTGCTACAGCGGCTTGCAGTTTGGGGAGTTTGCATTCAGTGACAACAGAGCACAACTGTGTGACAACAGCCTACCTTGAAATTTTCTTGCTTCACAGAGCCCTTGTCCTCCTGCGTGTAGGCACTCAGGCTCCTTGGCTTCCCTGTCTGGCAATGAGCAAATGTCTAGACCCAACTCGGCAGTTAATAGCTTTTTCAATATTTATTCTGCTTCCCTGAGGAAGAAATGGGGAAACAGAGCTGATATCAATACCCTGCGACAGATCTTTTGGGGACATGATCAGGGCCACACTCCTGGCATGTATAAAAAAGGGCTGAAGAGCAGCTGATTTTAAAGCTGCGGTTATTGTGGGGAAAGGAAAAGGGGAAGATTGGTAGGGAAAAGGAGGTGGTTGTTGGGAGTGGGATAAGCATTGCCTTAGCAATCTCTTTCTCAAGTGATTCCAAATTTTCATTACGCCAGCCAACAACTGTTACAAACTCCCTTTTCCCAGTTAGGGGATCAAGTCACAGGGAGGCACGTCACAAACAATATTCATTAGAACACCTTTTATTGATTCAGCTCTTACTATTAAGAGTCCAGCTGTTATTATTAATAGCAGATAACACACGCTTCGCTCACGCACACATGCCCTCTCAGTTTTACAGCCGGAGCAACAGCTGAAAGGCCAACCCTGGCTATTTACCCAGAAACAGAGTCTCTCAGGGATGCACCAGTGGCTTATAGTTGGGTGTTTGCCAAGTCCCTCAAAGGGTGCCTTGTTTCATCAGGTGCATAGATAGTCTGCTTGTCTCCCTCAGTGCAGCCACTGCCTTTGCGGATGCAGTCAGAGTTAGACAACCCGTGGCTGGTGCTGGCAGCCTTGCACAGGTGCAGCAAACTTGAGGTGTCCTGAGTTTATTTCTGGTAGATTAAGCCGGACTGAGAGCCTGTGGGGCTTATTAATTCTTGGGAGAACTTCACATGCTGCCTTTTGGCACGTACTTTTCCTTTCTTCAGTCTGTTTTTGGATAACTGTCTCTCCATCCACACCCTAAGGTACTTACAGAACCCATTCCCACAAACTCACGCTAAGGTGCTTTCACAACATGGCTATTACAGATCAGAAATGTCAATACCATCTAAGTGAGGCTGTGTATTCCAGACACTTTGAATAACTTACTTGCAAACAAGTGGTGACAGACCTCTCCTGTAGCAGAGCTGACGTTTAGCTATAATGCAGAGATTATTTAGAAAAACTTAACATTTCCTAACCTTGATGGTGTTAAAACCTCAGCACTGAGTCAAAGCCTTTTATTATAATATGTGGGCACATACACACTTGCATACAAACACAGCTTTCCCTTTGCTCCAAAACTGTGTGAGATTTAGGTTTCAACAGCCCGTTATTTTGTGAGGATTTGAGGTAATATAGCGTCCTCACAAACTTTGCACATGGTGTCTTGCTGTGTGGCTCCATGATTTTGGAAGTCAGAACAGTGCTAAATTCCCCACTTCAAACACCAGACAGGTAAAGGCAAAACCTGGCCGTATTGACAGAACAATATGCTTTCTTGAAAGTGGCTAAAATTGAACTAATTCAGATTAGATTTTTAGCACTTGCATCCTATCTGTTGGCTCCCACCACAGCTGTTCTTCTACCTCTCTCATCATCAGACACAGGACACCCAATCTTGAAAGCACAGGTTACTGTGTTGCGTTTTATAATTTTTACCTTCACTGTATTTGTGAGCTGACTTCACTCCTAACCACCACACTTTCAGAGCGGTGAGATCAGGCTTTTTTGCCCCCTGAGATGTTTTATTTCAGTTTCAGAGGAAGGATACTGTACCCTAAGGGTACCTACACTTTCAGCCTTATATTAAATTGCTCTCGCATTAAATGTTGTGGCAGCCAGAGCATGCACTGCAGGGCCTGCCATGGGTTTATGCTTTCACAAGGGCTCTGGTAGTGTTACTGGAAAGCGGTAATTAATTCACTCTCTAAGACTCAATTTTGGAGTTTTAGAAAGCAGGCATTCTTTATTACAGAGCCGGACACACAGGGGATGGCTCCTCCTAACGTCTGTGTGTGAGAGAATGAAATCAAGAAGCATTTATACTATCGTCATCATAAATATTAATTACATTTTTATCATAGTCTTATCATATTCATATTTTTCTGCAAACTCATTAGCATATGTTAATGTCTCTTGTGCATGTCTGTTGGGAGTCTTCAGGTGGTCGTTGGGGGTTCTTTAGATGAAGGTTCGTAGTTTTCTTCAGTGTTCACCAGTTGACCCTTACCTCTGTGCAAGCCCAGTCCTGTGCTCAGGTAGATCTTGGCCTTCAAGGCTGGCCTGATCTGGTTTTGTTGCTAATTTGCATCTTCCTTATCTTTCCGTTTCTTTACACCGGCTACTACAAGGCCGAACCGTCTGAAGTAAGATTATTTATGAGTTCCTTATCCTACAGTTATTCAAACCATTCCTCAAAAGATTAGTATTTGTTCTGCAGCACAATGGTTAAATGGTTAAAAGAGCTTAAATTGCTTTCAGTAACTCTGTTCCACAAGTATCTATTTTCTAATTATCTTAGTTCACAGGTGTGAGGAGGACACAAGAGGCGGGTTGCTGCACGGCGGGATGGCACAGACGGGGGATGCCCGGCCCCTCAGAAATGAGCTGCGCGGTGTAAATGACCGCGGCGCTGCCGCTTCAGCGCGGCTTTACGCCTGACCGGCTCTGGGCACCATTTCGCTGGGGGCAGGAGAAGCCGCAGCGCAGGGTCCCCTCACAAGAGCCGCCGGGCCATGGCGGCGGCGGCGGCGCCTCGGGGGCCTCAGCCAGCCCTTCTCCCTCGCAGAGGCCCGTCCCGCCGCCGGAGCGGAGCTGAGGGAAATCCGCGTAGCACCGCGCAAGCCGCCGCCGCCAAAACGCTCCCGGCCCCTTCCCCGCGGGCTGCGTGAGGGGAGCGGCGGGCGGCGGCACAGGGGAGCGGCAGGGGAGCGGCGGGTGCGCGGACAGGCGCCGCGGGCAGCCCGCCGCGCCGGGCGGGATGGGGGGGAGGAAGGCCCCGTCGCGCCGCCGCTGCCTGAGGCGAAGGGCGGCCGCGATGCCGCTGTACGAGGGTCTGGGCAGCGGCGGGGAGAAGACTGCCGTGGTGATAGACCTGGGCGAAGCCTTCACCAAGTGAGTGGCGCCGCGCTCCTTAAAACCGTCTATCCCCACCCCCCCCTCCTTCTGTCGCGACAGGCTTCGCCGTGGAGCCAGTGTCGCGGCTGCGGGGCGGGGCGGGCCTAGCCTGCCGTCGAGATGAAGAATTGCGTGGGGTTTTTTGTTTTGTTTTTTTTTTTTTTTTCCTCCTCACCCCGTCTCTGTGGTGGTCTGCGTGGTACAAAGCGGATCCTAACCGTTTTATTTTTTAAGCTTGTGTTTTAGATTAAAAAAAAAAAAAAAAAAAGGTGTAACTCAGTATTTGGTAATTTATGCCGTGGACCAGAAATGTAGCCGTGCCTCCTCCCGCCCCATATGACAACACCCCGTTGTGCTAGAAACCCCCAACGTCCCCCCATGCTCGTGTCCCACATACCCAGGGAAGGGGATGTTGAAGCAGTCTGGCCCCATATCCAGGCTTAAAGTACTCTGGAAATGCTTCCTGGGTTTCCGTGGCCTGCTCGGAGAGGCAGCTTGCACACGGGGGGAAAAAAAAAAAAGAAGAATTATATATTGCAGGGAAAGTGTTTCTTCAGCTGTATACCACTCTCTTTAGGCTAGGCCCACACCTGTGGTTGTGTCCATGTGGATGCATTTAACTGCTTGAAGCCCAAAGGATGTCTCTGCTTCTTCAGAGAGGCAGGAGTTGTTGGGTCTGTATTTGTATTTCTGTGAAACTTGGTTTTGGATTAAGTTGTACTTGCATTTTTTCAAGTGGCTGTGTAATTGCAGACCAGAAGGCAGGCTTCATTACCTGAAAATCGCTGCAGCATCATTATAGGGGATTTAACAAAGCCTTTGGGGATGAAAACAAAAGATTCCACAAGAGGTTTTTTGTGGATTCATGTCATGTTGCTGATTGCAGACTTTCCCCAGATTCGGAGAGCTTGAGAGGTTTTATCTCATGGGCATCATTTGTCTAATAAAATACTCTCATGGAAGAGCATCTTCCCTGAATAGTGTGTTTTTAGAGTCTGTGTCCAGCCTTCATTCTTGTAGAAGAAATATCAGTTATTTGAGAGACATCTGTCCTTTTCCAAATAAGGCTAAAATTCTCCCAAAGTTCAGCTGTTGTCAGGATGACGGGCAAGGGCAACTGCGCACCCGCACCGGGCCTGCACACGTCTGCTTGGGAGACCAAAGAAAAAGTTAAATTCTGAATTATGTCTCTTTTAAGATTTTTTTCTGAAATGATCTGAAGAAACACATTGACAGTTGTCACATACTAAAATAAAGTATTAGTTGACCTTTTACATTAAAAGTAGTCAAAGTCCATCAGCTTTATCGTTTTCTACTAGTGTTTTCTACCATAGTTTTCTTCTGAGGTTTGTACTTATAGGGGGTGGCAGTGATGAAAGAAATGTCAAGCACTGGGTTTCTTAAAATCAGATCTTGACTTTTTAATTTGTCTTCTTCGGTCCATGGTTCTTGTGTCTTTTAAGGTGCAGTCACTTTATGGAAACCAAATTGGCTTCTGAAAAGTTTGGTGTGGGTTTGCTACTGTTTTTATTCTGTTACATCTAAGTTGGGTGCAGAGCCCTCGTGCTTTTTCAGGAGGCCTGGAGTAGTAACCAGTCTTGAGGCAATAATACCTTAAATCACCCTGGATGTTTGTGAAGGAATTCATTTCAAAGGTGGAAATAGCAAAAAAGCGTCAGTGGGATGTTGGTAGTCAGCAGTGAAATAGACCACAGGACCTGCATGATTGTGATCATCACGTCTTTGTCTTTTATTTTTTCTAAATATCACAGAAAATGAGGATCTAAAGAGGACACGCTAACTAAATTTGCCTGTGTTTACTGAGAACTTCAGTGAAAACTGTGGGCTCGTATACAGGATACAGGAGGGTATTTCTTTGGAAATTTAGTAGGCAATAAGGAAGGTTGCAGGTAAATGGTGATAAACAGAAAACTACTTAGTGTAAGGTAGGAGGCACGTCAGAGTTGAGCATTACAGCCCTTATAGAAGTGAAGAAAACTTTTGTTCAATGCAACTGAGAGGGATTAAAGAAAAAGATATAAAACCTTATTCAAAATGGCTGATAGAAAAGCTTTATGCAAAACGCCTCTTTGCAGTCACAAAAATATCCCTAATTAAGTACTCTTCAATGATTCCTTGGCCCAGTATGTTAAATAGCGACTTCAAATAATAAGGTTTTCAACATTTCTTTTAGGTGTGGTTTTGCAGGAGAAACAGGACCAAGATGCATCATTCCTAGTGAAATAAAGAAACCTGATGTCGCAAAGGTAAACTATTTTACCTGAAATGTTTTGCCTTTATAATGTTTGTTGTGTTATGGTATAGAGAGAATTTGCAGATAAGTTTCCTGTCCATCGTAAGCTATTTTTCACAATCTTGGAACTGCTGCTATTGAAAGACTGTAACTGAATGTAATTAAGTGTGATACCAGTGTTGATGCTTATTGGTACTTATTACCTATGCAGCTTATATTTGGGGCACTTACTGAGAAATTTCTTAGCCTAGCTGTGCTTTTTTTTTTTTTTTTTTTAATTTTAGTAGAAGATGGCAGTTTTGGGAAACTAATGTTAAGTTACCAGTAGGAAAAATTAGCATGAATAAACTCTGGAGTTTAGTTATACAGTGAGTTTGATACGCATTGTTAAGAACATAGAGCAAATCAGGCAAGAGTATGTATTCCTTTATATGTGTCAGATTATGTATGTTCAGATATATATTATTATAGATATATTTCTTTATGTATCGTGTATATATTTCTTTATATATACTCACTGCCTAGTATTTAAGCTGACTGGATATTTTACTTTACAGCCTGTCAAAGTTGTTCAGTATAATATTAATACAGAAGAGCTATATTCATATCTGAAGGAATTTATCCATATGCTGTATTTCAGGTAAGAGATACTTGGATGTTAGTTATTCAGTCCTTCTGTGGCTCTTTTCCCAGTACTTCAGGAGGTATTGCACATGTGACTGGAGTCTGCTCTCTAGCAGCTTAAGAAAACAGAAACAAGGTTCTGCAGGTGACTGCCTAGCTGTGTTCTTGCAGAAGAAACTCAGTGGTGCTGAGGTTCAGGTTGTATAACAAAGTGGTAGTGTCCTGCAGCATCAGTTGCTCTCTAGAAATAAAAAGTATTTGGCAAGGTGCCTTTTATCTGTGGCACTCATAAAGGACTTGATAGGGGAAAGTCATTATTTAAGAAGTTACACTGATTCTGATAGGGCTGAAGCTCACCTTATATCAGTGCAGAGCTCCCTGCATGTGACAGTGGTTTGAGAAAAATTCCACGTTAACCTGTGGAATATTTTTACCTCAGTAATACATCTTTTAATTGTATTTTTACTACCATTAGAGAATAGTGAAGTTGGACTTAGTCTTTTCACTTCCAATCCTTATTTTTACACAGTAAAAATCATCACTTGACACAAGGAAACAAGTACTTAATTCCTGTGTCTCAGATCTTCTGGTGTGGGTGGTTGGTTTTATTTCTTGTCCTCATTCATCACTTTGTAATTGAAATCAGGACAATTCTATCCTCTTCCACTGAAATCAGGACAACTGTATCATCATTCTTCCTCTTATGGACATGCTGTATGACACTGGACAAGCCATTAATGCCTATTATGCGTGCCTATTTTTGCATTTCCTTATATTGATTTAGAAATGCATAATGGCTATTCAGAACTACAGCCTACTGGCAGATAGCTCTATAACTTGTTTTCTGTAACTCAGTTTCCTAACTTTCTTTCCTGAAAGTGTTTTTTTTTAAATTTGGGGAAAAGACTTTGGGATCTGCTGTAAAAAATGCTATCTGAGTGCAAATTTTTAGGGTTTTTGAGGAGAATGGAATATGAAGATAAGGTAGGTCTCACAATGTGTACTTGAACTTACCAGTTTTGTTTTACACGTTTTGGTATTTTTAGACATCTGTTGGTGAATCCCAGAGACCGTCGTGTTGTGATCATAGAATCTGTCTTGTGCCCTACACACTTCAGAGACACACTCACAAGAGTCCTTTTCAAGCATTTTGAGGTACGTGTTTTCTGTAACTACTGTATGTGATCAGCATTGCACTCACTGGTAGAAATTTACTTACAGTCACTATCAGATGTGGACAAAGAAATTAAAATAATGCCAAAAGAATGAGAGAGGCAGAAAGAAGGTGAAAAAAGCTGATGGTCACCTGGGGAAGTAAGGCTTGGAGATTGGACTAAAAGCCATTCTTGTTCCATTCTGACTCTTCATGAGGCTACAAAACAGGAGCTATTAACAAGAATCTGAAAGGTTTCTCTGGCTTGTAGGAAAATACAGCTCACGTTGTGGTGTTCCAGACAGATCCAATAATCCCCATTGAGCACTGCCTGAAGCCAGAATTTATATTTAAACACTTTTTAGTGCTCTGTCAGCAAATCTCATGACTTCTGCCAGAGTCAATATCCTTGCCTAGCACATGACCTAACCTCTGACTGTACTCATTTAGATAAGAGCTTACCTGAAATTTATTATCTTCTGTGCTTAACGAGTCTTTTTGAAGAAAAGTCTGAACCTAATTCTTCCTTAGTTCTAATGGAAAATGTTTTGGAAGGTGAATCCGTACTTCAATTCAGATAGAACAAAGGTGAAGGATTTATAAGAAGTAGTGAAACTAGTTTGTCTGCAGTACTTCTTCACTGTGCTTCCACAAAACAGTTTACCAACTAATCTTAAACTTCTGCTTAATTATTTCTTACTATTGATAAAATTTTCTGATGACTTGAAATTGCTGAAAGATTTGAGTGATTTGTTGGTTTGTTGTTTTTTTGTTTTTTTTTTTTTTCCTAATTCCTTTACAGGAAAAAAATAACATCTAATAAAGCACTCCCATGCAGAACTGGTTGTTGGAAATGACTAATGACTTGGAAAGTCATATTTTGATGGAGAGATTTTGTAACTTGTTAAGAAGCCAGCTAATACTGATGTGAGGTTAATTCTCTCTGGCTAGTATTACCATTTGGTGCAAAGAATAAGAGCAGCATATTAATACAGGGTCAATATTATAACTTGTGTCTTTGGGCTAAGCATCAGTAATGTTGCCCTTAAATGCAGGATTTATTGAAATTGCTCATTTAATTCACACATCAAGGTGTTCCATTAAAGGAACTGTCACTGTTTAGGAAACTTGATTTATGGAATTCTGGGAGAAGGAAGTAATTCTCATGTAATTTTGACTCGAGTTTCCACATTGCTTTGGGGAGAGTGTTTTAAATAGCCTCTTCTGTGAGTTTGTGTGCAACAGTATGTTGTCGTAGGGCACGCTTTTAGGGGTTTTCTGGCACCTTTGTTCTCATCTTCAAGTCTTGATACAACATATCAAGTAGCTGTGTTTTAGTTTCTTTAATTTCTTTTCAATGACAATGAGAAACCTGATCGATAACTTAAGATGAGCTCTGTAGTTAACAGTTGCTTTTCTTACAAGTCCATTCCAAGATTATTATTGAAGTAACTCCAAATAAGATAAATGTAGGATTTGGAATCCTGTTGTATTTTGTTCGTTACTATGCTACCTCAAAAACTAAATTAACAATGGACACCTCAAGATACAGTTGATTGGGTTTTCCTTTTAATATGACATTCAGGGAAAGCATCAGTGTTTTGGGTGGTTTGTTTCTTTTCCTCTTTCTGTCAGTTGTCCTTTTGGTTTCCATGTAGGTACCTTCTGTTTTGTTTGCTCCAAGTCATCTGATGTCTCTCCTGACACTTGGGATCAATTCTGCCATGGTGCTAGACTGTGGATATACAGAAAGCTTGGTTCTGCCTGTATCCTTTAATAATACACAAACAAAGTTTTCAGCAATATAGCTGTTGTGACAAGGTGATGTTTTTATAGACTTCAAGTGTGCTAAACAGTAATAGGAACAGATCAGCCAGTCTGGCTTTTGACTATAAGGTATCGTGACCTGGGGAGTCTCTTCATAGCTGACATGCTAAAATTGTGCTCTCTTAAAACTTGGGAAGGGTGGTTCATAACTTCAGCCTTTATACACTAGAAATTAGTTTTGGAAAAAAAGTTAGAAAGTGTTTCCAGTAGCTAATGCAAGAGATTGTTGAGGGGAAAAAGCATTTAGTTCCAGCAGACTGAAAACTCGTAACAAAAAAGGAGAATTTCCTGATCTTCATGTAGATATATGAGGGAATTCCGATTCTGAGCTGCTGGGGTTCTCTTCCTCTGGGAGGAAAGGCAATCCACAAGTAAGTTCACAGTTACACATACCAGGTTACTGATGATTTATTTGTGAAAGTTCGTCTCTGACTAATGAGCAGAGATTCCTGTTGAACATGACTTTAAATCATAACTGTTGCTGTGACAGCATCCAATTTTTAAAGTTACCACTGTTTGGCTTTTGTTGATGTAGTAAAAGCAGAAAATCAGATCTGCTTCAGTTTATATTTAGAATGTAACTGAAGGAACTAAATAGTGTTGCTTCAGCATAATATAGAGAATCGGCCTGAGTTAATAACGGTGTTTGACTAACTTAATGTGCAATGTTTTAGGGAGCTGGAATATCAGTTGTTGGAGCAGTGCACAGTTGATACAGGATTAGCCAAAGGACAAAGCCTTCCATCTGTGATGGGTAAGGTCTGATTGATGTAGCATATGTGCTGTGAACTTGCACTGGGGAGAGTGGATTAATGCTGACAGTGAATGAAATGAGTTCAGTATTCACTGTTCTTACGTGATCTGCCTTCATGATTTCTTTCTCTGTATTTCACAAGTATATTACTTTTATGATAAGCCACTCTTAACAGCAGGTTTGAATGAAGGCTGAGATAAAAGTTCTGCAGTAGTTTTTCAGTTTCTTTTGACAGAAGACAAACTTTTTCTTTCTGTTCTTAATATTCTATCTTCCTTAGAAATCTTTAAAAGCTGCTCTCATTGGAACTTTAATGCACTAAATGTAATTCCAACTTAGTTTAATTCCTAAATTCTCTTTCTACTTAAAAAGCTTTTATTCTAAGTTATTTTTTTATTTTAGGCTCAGTTCCAGAAGACATAGTAGAGGATATAAAAGGTAAAATTTTCTGCTTCATGAAACCCTAGTTTATTAAATTGGGCAGTAGAATATCATAATAAGTGTGCAGTACTTTACATTTAGCAATTTATTTTCTCTTCTGTGTTTACCATAGTTCTTACCTACTGAAAGAACTTGCAGTGTTCTTCCTCTTTAAACACAAAACCAAAACTATGTTCAGTTTCAGGTTTGGCCTGAGTATTAAGATGTAACTTGTAGATAGATACATTTGATAGACTAGGGCAGAAAGACAATTGCACTATTGCCTGTGTCCTCTGATCAGCAGGTCAGGTTAACTTTGTGCTGTGCTTTTTAACTATTGACATTTGGTTTGCTGCATGTGAATGTGTACAGTGTGTACTTTGCATGGGACTTAGATCTAATGTTCAAAACCTGTTATCATAGATGCATTTTGGTTGCAAATGCAGCATTTAAGCAGTCTTGATATCATGTCATAAGAATATTTTAAGTTAATTTTGTTTATAAATTAACTAGGAAGGCTCAGTTTTCCTTAAAGTCAATTTTGAAAAAAAAAAAAAAAAAAAGTATGTATAAAAGACAGTTTGGTGTGTTAATCAGGTACCTAGATGAGTCAAGGACTACATTTTACACCAGAAAAAATAGTCTGTCTTTGGGCAGAACTTGGATGAATTCTGATGTAATGTTTCATGTGCAACAGATACAAAACTATATGTAATTGTAGAAAATAGAAACTAGTATATATCTCTTGGGACAAATTCGGAAGAAATCCATCAGTCAAATGTAAAATAACTTAAATGCAGCTGGTGCTTTGTCAAATGGAAGTTGCTTTTTTAATTCCTGGGCTTGAACACAATTTACTGATCAGTTTTGGTTTTTATGCAGTCTTTTGGAACCAGATACAATGTGCTAGGGTTGAAATTATCATGGCCTGTGTGTTGCAGGGTTTTTCTTTGTGACAGCCATTTATGAAGAAGATACTCATTTGTGCCAGATACAAATAATTAAGCATATATCACTAACAGCTGGGATACAAATGAAATTGTGCTCTGTCAGTGTTGCCTGGAGGAAAAAAAAGAAACCTCTGGAGTTCTTTGGGTGCTGAAGAGTTGCGCTAGTTAAAATACTGCATGATTACAGCTTGTTTGAAAAATGAGCAATGTCTCATTTGAAGCCACGGTGCAAGACCTGCAGTGGTGTGTTTGACAGCAGAATACAACCACTGGCACCTTGTGGTAACTACAGCCACAATTAGTAAGATCCGTCTGTCTTTAAATCTTATGTAGCTTGTCTGAGAAAGAAATCTTGCTTGTCCTAGCATAGTTTTGTGCCAGCTTCATTTAAACCCATGGTCTAGGTGGCACCTGACCGCTGCTGAAGTGTAAAGACCATTTTAATTTGCATTTATTTTATAGTGTCTTTGAACAGCAAGGGCCTAAAAGTGTGTGTTCTTCTCTAAATTAAGCAAAATGATTGTCCTTATTGGTGATGAAAGGATCCAACGAAGTCTCTCTTCTGCCTTTTTCTTTTCTTTTATAAAGTCCGCACTTGTTTTGTGAGTGATCTCCAGCGTGGACTGAAAATCCAAGCAGCAAAGTTCAACATTGATGGCAGTGCTGAGGTGGGTGGATGATGAAGCTTATCCTAGTCTTCTGAGGTAGATAGAGCCTTTTTGGTGTCTAAAATAATGCACGTATGTTTTTATTTCTAGCGTCCTTCACCGCCTCCAGATGTGGACTATCCCTTAGATGGAGAAAAGATTCTCCATGTAGTTGGCCCCATCAGGTGAGAAATGCCATAGCAGAGTATTTATCTTTAGGAGGATGTATTTTCAACTCTAAAAGCACATAAATTTTCAATTAAAATTGAATTTTAATGAACACTTGCATATGCTTTTAATGTCTCCTAAGTGAAGGCTTTGTGCTGGGCACAGTGCAAGCCCGTGAGAAGGGGTGTCAGACTCGCCAGAGCACTCACAGTTGAAGCTGAGAGCAAACAGATTGGAGGGATGGGGGGAAAACAGAAATGAAATGTTAATGCATGAGAGTGAGACAGGTTTAGTGAGGTGAACAGGGCATTGTCCCCTCCCCGCTGGCACTGCCTGGTGCAGGGACTGCATGGCAGAGGTGGTGATGATGTGTTGTCAGCAGGAAGTCTGTAATTTCCAGCTCTGCTGTTGATGAGTGTTAGCTCATAGTGTAATATTGCTTCTCCTTAACGCTCATTTCCTGTCTTTTCAACAGAGACTCTGTTGTCGAAATACTGTTTGAACAGGATAATGAAGAGACATCTGTTGCCACTTTGATCTTAGATTCACTTATCCAGGTATCTTTATATTAGAAACAATTTATTGAATGCCTCCAGCCTTAGAGAACCTGCTGTTATAAATAGTTCTAGATAGAGTAACACCCTTGTGACTGCAGGTTGCGATTGGTTGAAAAGCAGAGCATGACTCCTAGGGTGCCACCATGTGAGGCATTTCTGTGTGGTAGCAAGTCACCGTGTGTCATCCACTCTGTGATTGTTTTCTTACTCTGGTGTACTGCAATGTGTCTAGGACAGTTTTAGAAGAAACATAGTGCTCACCCCTTACCAAAAGTAGTAAGCTAGCTTGCATTTATTTGGAGGTGGGGCTCTACATATGTGATGATGAAGGAGCAGCTAATACTTGAGAGTTGTAGGAATTACACTGCTTAACCTGAAATGATGCAGGTATTTCTGTTTCTTCTTTTTCCAAGGTGTTTTGCTCAGAGTTAGACTTTGAGTCTTGCAGACTGCTGGCTTATCTCAGATAGAGAAAAATTAATTTGGACAGCTCTATTACAGGCAGTATATTAGATTTATTGTGGAAGATTTTCTTGGCATATACAAATACTTAATTTCTTATTATATTTAGTGAAAAAGTGCATTAGAAAACCACTATAAATGGAAATTTTCATTATGTGGTGGTGTATGTATGTTAATTAAAGCTGACTTCCTGTAGTTATTGATGCCATTTAAATTAGTTTGCTGAGACATAATTTATTGGAGAGCTATAGGCTTGAATGACATGACAAACATTTCAATTAGAATTCCTTATGAAAACAAATTATTTAATAAGATCTGTGCCTGGATCCCTCACCTGTGTACCTCTGGACATTTACTTTGCATCACTCTGGCTGAAGGAAAGACATTGTTAAGTTTCCGAGTGTCAAATAGTGTCCAGTTATTTCCTCTGGACAGGAGGACCACAGCAGCCTGGGATTTTTTCCAAAGGGATAGCACAGATCTGTTTGTGGGGGGCAGAACTGACAAAGCTTGGTCTTCTCATGCCTTTGTGTCTTCTGGTTGGATTATCCAATGCCTAAGGCAAGCTCCAGCAGAAACCTTTTCTGCCACTGAGACTTTTCTAGCACCCTTCTCCCCCATGGAGCTAAAAAGAGTCAGTGTCATATATAACAGTTTTCCCTCTCTGAGAGCCCAGGTTGAGGCTTCACCTCTCTCTGGGACATCCTCTCCCAGCACTCACGGGAATTATTGTCACTGATACCTCTGTCCTCTGTTGTCTTGGCCTGTCTCAGCTGAAGGGCTTCACAGGGACTCACATTGTGCCCATAAAAGCCTCAACTGGGCAGTTCCTTAAGCCTGGTTTTCTTGGGAAGTCAGGGAGGGAAAACTTACGTTGATTATGTTTCAGCTAAATATGAGAAAACAGCAATTGAAGTGCATAGAAATACTGAGTTCCTAGCAGATCTTTGAATGCTTGTTCATGCAACTTCAGTTAAGTATTTGGGGTTTTTTATTCCTGTTTGCATTAGTGTCCCATAGACACCAGGAAGCAGCTGGCAGAGAACTTGGTAGTTATTGGCGGCACCGCTATGTTGCCAGGATTCCTTCACAGGCTCATGGCTGAAATCAGATACCTGGTAGAGAAACCAAAATACAAGGAAACACTTGCTACTAAAACCTTCCGAATTCATACTCCACCTGCCAAACCCAACTGTGTGGCCTGGCTGGGAGGTAAGAATGAAAACTGTTAAGCAAAGGTACAAAGTGGAAAACAAACCTTCCAGGTGGGATTTGTAATGAATAAATAGCAGTAAACATCAGGTGAACTATTGAAATCAAACTGCATTGGAGCTCTGTGGAATTGTTATGCCCTCCTGGAAGAAATTGTATGGAGTAAAGCTCCCTCAGGGACATTTGGAGGGCAGAATGGCACTGCAGGTTATGCGAGCTTTGTGTGGAAGGGGAGATGCTGACTCAAGTGCAGTACAGGGCTACTGCCATATGGTGGCACCAGGAAGGTAATTAGGCAGAGCAGAGACCTGGGTATAGGAAGATCTGCTTATTGAAAAAAAACAAGTTTAATTACTGTCTGTGGAGCTGTGAGCTATGGGGAGGCCAGAGGCTGCTAACTCCCTGTGCTGTTTGCAAGTGCCAATAATGAAAACGGCAGCTCTGCAGTGGATTTTGGCTGCTGTTAGGGAAGAAGGGCTTTCTGTTGCTAGCATTTCTTAAGGGAGGTTCTGAGGTAGATAAGAATTTGTGCTTTTCTAAACTTTCAGTTTATAAGCTTGAGCCCATCTGGTGTGTATGATGAACTAACTTTAAAGGTAGATTTTATTTCCATATCCTTTGAAATGTAAATGTTTGTAAAATTTTAGTTTTAAAACCATTTGAGTCTGCTTTTAGGATCAGCAAACAAGAATGATTTATATGCACCGAGTTCTCTGGTACTTTTCTTCACTGGTGACGCTAGTCAGCTGCTGCAGTCTGAATCTTCTCACAGCTTGTGTAAACTTCTTACGGGTATTGTGTGACACCCTTTCTGGGGAGAAGAAATTTCCTTAAATGCAAGGTGGTTTGTTTGAAGTGCTTAAAAATCGAAACTTCTAAGAAACTTTGTTGTAAGAAGCAGGTTGGCTAGGCCAGTTTTGTTCTCAGCAGAGACTAGATGATTGTTTTTCAGTTACTTTCAAGGGACATAAATGGAAGGAGTTTGGAACTAGCTCAGCTGCTGGAAAGGAAAGTGCCGAGATCCTTTAATTCCTTTAATTTTTGGGATAGAGCTGAAAAAGAATAGTTGAGATTCCTGATGGGAAGAAGTAGAAAAAGAAATTCAGTACATCAAATTAATGCAACTTTCCCCCCCCCCCCCAATAATATAGGAGCTATTTTTGGAGCACTTCAGGACATACTTGGGAGCCGGTCTGTGTCCAAAGAATATTACAGCCAGACAGGCCGCATACCTGACTGGTGCTGTCTTAATAATCCTCCACTGGAAATGATGTTTGATGTTGGAAAAGCACCCCCACCGTTGATGAAGAGGGCTTTTTCTACTGAGAAATAAGCACCGGAATTCTACAGAAGGATTCTCCTCATCTATTTCAAGTAGATATATATGAATTGGGGTTTGTTTTTTTGTTTTTTTGTTTTTTTTTTTTTGTTTGTTTGTTTGTTTGTTTGTTTTGTTTTTTTGCATTGAGTAATTTGTGTGTAACGCTTAAATACGAACAATATGGATGTTTTGGGAGAGTATTGTGGTGGGTACTGAGACTATTTAAACCCGTGTCCAGTTTAAAAACTTAACTCTGGCAACTACTATGCTATTTTGTCCACTTCTGAAGAAATTCGGCACTGTCATGGGGTGCAGCCTACTGAGTCGTTTGTTATTTATCTGTACAGTTAATGACATTGTTGAGAGAATTTAAGATATTTTGGTTTTAAATATGCTTAGAAGAACGAAGGACAGACTACTATGAGAAACATCTATGGAAGCTCTTCTGCCAAGTTCTATATTAAAATATTACACCCTTGAATCATATGTGAGGAAATTATTTGGGGCTCTTTAGCAAAGGTGCTGGAGCAGTATTTTCCCTGGACACAGTCCTATTTTGAGAGTTTTAGCAGAGGACTCTTCTGCCGGTAATTCACACATAGTGCTGAGCTAAAAACTCTCCCAGTACCTCTCCTCCAAGAAAGAATTCAACCACGTAAGAATTACAAACAGGGTTGCAAGGAAATCTTGAATCTCTTACTGAAATGTCAAGTTCAGAAGTCACTTATTCACCTTCCTTCTCCCCATCAGAAATATTAAACTTCATTGCCCCGCAACAATATGTATTAAATGAAAATGCAATGCCAAGTTCATTGCTTAGTAAAAAAAAAAAAAAAAGTACATTTGGGTATTAATGCTGTATTTTGGAATTGTTGCTTGTTAATAAGCTCTTAGCAATGCTGTAACTTTTCATATTGAAGGAGAAGGAGTGCTCCTGTGGGAAGACAAAGAGATACACTGCCATTCTGCTGGTAGTGCTGCTGGTTTTGGTTTGTCAGGATTCTCTCTATCCTTCCATACAGCTGCTGTGAATTAACTTTGCGTGCAGAGCTGTGGCTCCCGGTGAGCACTCCAGGCAGCGCCGGTGCATCTCAGCAACACCACGTCTTGGGAGAGGGGTTTCCCTGGGCCTCAAATACTGCTAAACTTGGTGCCAACATGCAGAAGTTGACTTGCTGGCTAAATGGTGATTCTGCTGGTATCTACTGGTTACTGATGTTTAAATCCTACTCTGAGGAGTAATAGTTTATCTCAGATTCGGGGAGATATACATACATATATATATAGATACAAAAAATTCTTGGGGGTGGTGGAGTCTTCTGATGCCACAAACATTCTTTCTGTGGCTGATTTCCCCTTGCTGTCTGCTAACTACCCACCGTGGTTCCTGAAGCACATTTCTTGAAGTTAAACACATATTCAAAGAAATGTTCTTGTGGTGAAACTTAATACAGGGCAATGTGTTGCAGCATTTAAGTAAGCTTCTGCACGATTTTGTCATTCTATATGTGCTTTACCTTAACATATGGCATTAGTTGGCACATGGTAGGAGATACTCCCTTTTTATCTTACTGGTTTTCAGATTAAAAAAAAAACACAGAAAACAAGAATCGCTGCTTAAAGTGTTAAAGTCTGTCATAGGCCAGACTTTGCTTGTTGGTAACAGTGGTCTGATAGTATTGACACAGATGATTTCTCTCTGGAGGTACTGGCAGGTGTATTTTTAAATTACCTTCTTCCTACCTCAAGTGAGCTGTGTGGCTGTTACACAGAAAAACAGTCAGGCATAACTGCGAGTAGTTGTTAATGGTGATCTTCTAGTCCTGGGATGAGGTTGCTCTTTTAGAGATCATTTCTTAGTCCTCAAATCACAGTGGGGCTTGGACAATGCCCCTTTGCCCTGGTGTGAGAGTCTCCAGTCCAAACACTTTCTGGGTTTCCTGGTCAAACACGTCGCAGTTACCATGCACAAGAGTTTTTCTGCGGCAGCCCGAGTATGAGAATGGTGTGCTGTGAGACAGAAACAGGTTCTTCAAAATGTAATGTTGTGTTCTATTGGTCAGGCCTGGACTTGGAAAAACGGATTAAACGCTATAGCTCGATACCTCTATTCCCAATGTGTCTGGTTGTTTGCATTCTTTTACATCTTAGGGTTCTTCTTGTGCTTGATTGCTTCTGTAAGCCTACTATTAACGCTTTAATTTCCTTTGAGATGGTAATTTTCCAGAAGATTCATCAAATACCATCATTCTTCTTGTTTTCTTGAGTGTTCAGGACCTTCACTCTGACTGCGCTTGTTCCCCCTTACCAACTCCTTTTTATCTCCCCTGCAGCAAGACCAAGGACCATGGGGTTTGTGTGCAAGTCGAGAGTGCCCCCTCCAGCAGGCCCGGTGCTTGGCCGCCCTGCCCTGCCGTAGCCTTTCTCCCAAGGCATAAACATCTACAGGGCTGGGCTTGGAGGCTCCAGAATCCAACTGCTTCTGGCAAAAAAACCTGTGGGTGAGGTCTGGGTCTCCTTACAGGGCTGAGCAGGGGAGGAGTGGTGGAATCTAAAACTCAGTGCATGAGGTTGACCCATCTGGAGCAGTCTTTGGCAAGGATTTGGGGTATTAGTAGTTTTCTGAATGACTTCAGAAAGTATATATGATGGCAACAGTTATGCTTAATAAAGCAAAATGGATAAAACCACGCTCTTTGGGGACCAGCCTGCTACATCTCGGTTCTTAACTTGTTCCCAATCTGTGATGCCATTACAGACTTGCTAAATAGATGCAGTTTCATTGCAAAGCACCAAGAGCTAGCTTTAGGTCTGGGTGAAGAACATTCAGACCCAAGCTCTGCTGCTCATTTTAATTTATAATGTGAATAATTGGGATGCAGCTCGGTGACCCAGATTGTCTTGCCTCAGTAAGAACTGAGCCAGAGCCTACTAAAGCTTGCTCCTGAGAGAAGAGTTTGCTATCGGCACGAGTCCTGTGGAGCTGGGAGGGATTACTCATGTCTGTAAGTAGTTCTCAGTGGGAAGGATATGCAGGGCAGATTAAACTCCTACGGAGCCTGTGTTCATGGTGGTGCAGTGATGTCATTTTCCTGAACTGCAGCAGACTGCAGCTGAGGAAATTGAGAATGTTCTTAGCCTTTCCCTTTTCAGCAGTATTTCTGTACTGACGTGTGGGTGTACTCTGGGATCTTTCACAAGCCCGGTGTGTTCTGCCCGCTCTTCTGTGGCATTTCTGCATACACTGAACAGCTTCAACAGCTGCTGTTCCACACTGCATGACCAGAAATCCTAACTGCGATGTTACTGGCGAGTTTAAGGGTAGAGTCCCATGACCTGTTAAAGACAGAAACAGAATTCTTACTTCACTGAAGGGGTGAGGAAAGACTATTACCTGCTTTTCAAAATGACTAGCCCTGGAAAGCCCTTAGAGATCACACCTTAAACGTGTTACTGTGTAGAAAGGGATTTGGCTTATTTTCATTCAGCCTAAACGTTGTAGTTCTTCCTTCCCTGGTCTGGCAGGGATCCATGGATCCTTGCAGCAGACAAGTTCACAGTGAACTCAAATGTTTTATCGGGAGGGACAGTGACAGATACAAATCCCTACAGTAACTGGAGTTTTTTCCTCTGAAGTTCCTGATTCTGGACCGGGTACAGTTCCTTCAGGTTGGTGTTAGCCAGCTGCAGAGAGCTCCAGCTGAGCTGAGTCCTGCTGACAGGAGGAATATTTTGGAATATTCGTGAGTATGGACTGTTGCAGTCTGCCCGGTGTCTGTGCTGCATCAGTGGGAGCTTGTCTCTGAGGGAAGGGGATTTAACTCATTCCCCTCACTCTCTTTGTATTGAATTAGAATATCTCAAGTTGGAAGGGACCCATAAAGATCACCAAGTTCAATTCCCTGCTTACAGGAGGAATATTTTGGAATATTCGTGAGTATGGACTGTTGCAGTCTGCTCGGTGTCTGTGCTGCATCAGTGGGAGCTCGTCTCTGAGGGAAAGGGATTTAACTCGTTCCCCTCACTCTCTTTGTATTGAATTAGAATATCTCAAGTTGGAAGGGACCCATAAAGATCATCAAGTTCAATTCCCTGCTTACAGGATTACCTAAAACTAAACCATATGACTAAAGGTGGTGTCCAGACACTCCTTGAACTGTGACAGGCTTGGGACTGTGACTGCTTCCCTGGGGAGCCTGCTCAGGGCCTGACCACCCACTCCGTGAAGAGCCTTTTTCTGATGTCCGACCTGAACTTTCCCTGGTGCAGCTTCATCCCATTTGCTCGTGTCCTGTCTCAGGTCACCGGAGAGGGGAGATCATCACCTCCCCCTCTGCTGTCCCCTTTGGGCAAGTTGTAGGCTGCTGAGGTCACCCATCAGCCTTCTCCGAGCAGAACAAGCCAAGTGGCCATGGCCGTTCCTCCTGAGCCTTGCCCTTGGGGCCTTTCACCATTTTGGTTGCCCTCCTCTGGACACTCTAATAATAGTTTAACGTCCTCCTTCTATCGAGGCACCCAAAACTGCACCCAGTTCCCAAGGTGGGCCCACGCCAGCGCAGTGTGGGACAATCGCCCCCCTGGACCGGCTGGCGGTGCCGTGCCAGAGGCACCCCAGGACACGGTTGGCCCTTTTGGCTGCCAGGACACACTGTTGACTCCAATTTGCCATCAACCCCAACCCGCAGCTCTCTTTCTGTGGGACACTGCTCCCCAGCCTCTTGCCTCCCAGTTTGTGTGCGTAACTGGGATCACCCCGGCCCAGGTGGAGCATCCCTTTCTTGCTCTTCTTAAATTTCATGTGGCTGGTGATTGCCCAGATCTCTCATCTATCCAGATCTCTCTGTAAGACCTGGCTACTCTCGAGGCAGTCCGTAGCTCCTCCTAGTTTATGAATGTACATTCAATTCCTGCATTTTTTATAAAAACTTTTTTTTTTTTTTTCCTCCCTAGCAATACAATGTTTATTACAGGGACTACCAAAATTTTCCAGCCCACAGCTGCAGCAGGGACGTTTGTTTCAGGACTCCCGCTGGTGCCTCCGGAGCGGGGGGGGCCTTTCCCTCAGGTGGTCGGGGCAGCGGCGGTGTTTTCCCGCCCAAACCCCTTCGCGAAGGCGGAGGGGCACAAGAAAAAGCACCTCCGCCCAACGTGGGGCTCGAACCCACGACCCTGGGATTAAGAGTCCCATGCTCTACCGACTGAGCTAGCCGGGCGCTTCTCACAGGTTTTTCCGCCACGTGCCCTTCACCCGGCGACGCGCTGACGTCAGCGCCCCGCCCACTGGGACTGCGCCTCGCCGCTGGCTGCGCGGCAGCCAATGGAAACGCGCGTTGTTGGGCGGTCGGGAGCGTGAGGGAGGGAAGGGGCGGGGGGGGGGGAGGGGTGGTTCAGGTCCGGCCGTGGCTGAGGGCGCCGCCGCCGCCGCCATGAGCTCCATCGGCACCGGGGTGAGTGCGGCAGGGCGGGGGGCGCGGGGCGAGCACCCTCACACACACACACACACACACACACACACACACACAGGCTCGCCCCCACCGGGGAGCGCGGCCGCCGCCGTTGGGGCCGCAGCGGGGCCCGGGAGCCGCTGCTGAGTCACCGCGGCCCGTTAGGCCCAGGAGGGAAAAGGCGGGGGGACAGGGGCAGGGCGGGGGGCTCTGCCGCCTGCGAGGGAGGGTGGGGGGGGGCGGCTGAGCCGCTTCCAGCGCCGGGGTGGGCAGATTCGGCACGTCGTACGCTTTAAAATAAGGTATTCCTGTTAATGAAGAGCTACGACTCCAGTAAATGTAAAAGGCACACAAGGAGGCCCCACAGGTTTTTAGGTGTTGTATAACGCGCAGCGATTTCGGAACCCTGCGACATCTGGATTGGCAGGGGTGGAACTGGGGGTCTGTCCAGCGCCCATGCGATCGCTTCTTGCAGTTGTTCGTGTGTGTGTGTGCTGCTGCTGCTCCTGCACCTTTTGTTAGGGGGGCAGCCGGCTTCGGGCACTTGATACACAGTGGTGTCATGCGGTTGACAGCCTTGCATCTTTAAATAAATAAACTTATGAAAATATTAGCAGATAATGTGTTTTGTTTTGTTTTGTTTTTTCTGAGTAATGTGTTTTTTTCTTCAGTACGACCTGTCAGCTTCCACGTTTTCCCCAGATGGCAGAGTGTTTCAAGTTGAGTATGCTATGAAAGCTGTGGAGAATAGTAGGTAAGATACAAATATCTGTATCTGTTTCTTGGCCTCTCTTAAAGCAGTTTAATTGGACTAGACAAGCATGATGGCATTACAGATAAAATTATGTTGTTAAAATTAGTTCTGAGCAACTGTGTCTCTAGGTTCATTTTAGGAGGCTTCAAATTAAGTGTAAAAGTTGTAGAATCACTTTTGCTTGCTAGAAATCAGTTTTCACACTTGCCAGAAATCACTTTTGTTTGCTAGAAACAGGTAAGTTGTGGAGAATGCACAGGAAGGCCATAAAATTACTCATGTGTGTTAAGGGCAATAAAAATTTTATGCTTTGGGGCAGAATCTGATTGCAAGTCTCACCAATGTGGATAAGGTGCTTAGCTGTTATGATAGCAGAGCTGCTGTAGCAGTTTCTAAAAGCCCATTTTATGGATGTGAATTGAGCCACTGAAAGACTGACGTGCTCAGGGCCTCATGAATTTTTAATATCTTAGAATCATAGAATGGCTTGTGTTGGAAGGGACCTTAAAGATCCCAGCCCAGGGTGCTCCCAGCCCTGTCCAACCTGGCCTTGAACCCTTCCAGGGAGGGGGCAGCCACAGCTGCTCTGGGCACCCTGGGCCAGCACCTCACCCCCCGCACAGGGGAGAATTTCTTCCTTGTATCAAAGCTAAATCTTTCTTTAATCTTCCATTTTACGGCTCTTGCCCCTTGCCCTATCACTCCCTGACAGAGTCCCTCCCCACCTTTCCTGTCCCCCCTTTAAGCCCTGGGAGGCCGCTCGAAGGTCCCCCCGGAGCCTTCTCTTCTCCAGGCTGAACCCCCCCAACTCTCTCAGCCCGGCCCCCCAGGGGAGCTGCTCCAGCCCCCCCAGCATCTCCGTGGCCTCCTCTGGCCCCGCTCGAGCAGCTCCGGGTCCTTCTGCTGTTGGGGGCCCCCGAGCTGGCCCCAGCACTGCAGGGGGGTCTCCCCAGAGCGGATCAGAGGGGGACAATCCCCTCCCTGGCCCTGCTGCCCCCCCTGCTCTGGCTGCAGCCCAGGGCACGGGTGGGTTCTGGGCTGTGAGCGCACGGGGCTGGCTCACGGGCAGTTTTCCCCCCACCAGCACCCCCAGTCCCTCTCCTTGGGGCTGCTCTCCAGCCACTCCTCGTCCAGCCTGGGTTTGTGCTGGGGATTGCCCCGACCCATGGGCAGGACCTTGCCCTTGGCCTTGTTGAACTCCATGAGATTTGCACAGGCCCCCTTCTCCAGCCTGCCCAGGCCCCTCTGGATGCCATCCCTGCCCCCCAGCACGTCACCGCACCACACAGCTCGGTGTTGGTGAACCCTCAATCCCACTGTCCACGTTGCCAACAAAGATGTTAAACAGTGATGGTCCCAATATCAACCTGAGGAACACCACTTGTCCGTGCTCTCTGGTTGGACATTGAGCCATTGACCACAACTCTGAGTGCCACCACCTAGCCAAGTCCTTATCCACGGAGTGGTCCATCCATCAAAACCACGTCTCCAGGTTAAAGACAAGGATGTCATGTGGGACAGTGTCAAATGCTTTTGCACAGGTCCAGGTAGATGATGTACTTCATGCATATTCTTCAAGAAAATGAGGACATCCGAGTTCTTGGTGAAGCCACATCAGCTTCTCAGAGTATCTGTCTTCCCTCAAGTATCTGCAAAGGAATGCTTTAGAGTGAAAACCCAAACTGTGCTCTGGCAGCAGCATGATCATCAATTAGCAAGGCATGGACTGGATCACCCAAGTGTCTGATGGTAGCCACAGGCTGCCAGATAAGGATGAGTGGAAGTATTTTGTGTAGCTGTTCATGCCATGGTTGGTAATTTATACCTGATGATGCACTTTTTGAGGGTTAGAGAAAGAGTTGTCACATTTAGATCAACGGCGAATTTACTAAAAGGAGAGGTTAAGCAGTCAGTGGTTCTCACACTAGGGTGGTTCAGCCCAGAGATGGGGCAGCAGCAATGTCATTGCTCCAAGCAGTGCCACCACCGCATATAGTCTGCTAAGAACTATTTGGGTAGGGGCTTTTGGCAGCCCCCTCCTCCTTTATTTATGAAAATATTTGTAGGTTTAGTGAGTTTTGGCTTTTTTTAACCCCTTTGTGTTCAGTGCTAAAGGCTAAAGTGGAGCTGTAACAGATCTGCTTCTGGGGAAATTATGTCATTGTTTCTAGTACTTTGTTAATAATTCTCTGCTATGTATTTTACATTATGGTTTTCTGTGAGGAACTTACATTTATCTTGTCTTTCAGTACAGCAATTGGGATAAGATGCAAAGATGGTGTTGTCTTTGGAGTAGAAAAACTAGTTCTGTCCAAGCTTTACGAAGAGGGTTCCAATAAACGTCTCTTTAACGTCGATCGACATGTTGGAATGGTAAGGTGCTACTTAATTTTAGTTTTTCATAAATTGAAAGGGACACCTCTCAAAAGTAGGAAACTATTAATCAGAGATTAATAATAAGTAGATAAAGTAATGTTAATGTTTCTGCGTACAGAATCAGAAATGGTAGTGGGCCTTTTGGACAGTTTTCTGTAATTGTTAATTGCCCACACTTATATAAACAAAATACAAATTTAAAATAGAAGATAAGTATATTTTGAGGCTGTTGTAAATTTTTTGAAATGCTTTTCAGCATTGCAGTTATTCAAACTTTAAATATAAACACAAGTGTTAAAGTGGTACTTTATGCAATTAACAGATAAGGTGCTGAGGGGAAAAGATGCTGCATACAAGATTCTCTTCTCAGCAGTGGGAGTTGGCTGAAATCTGTAAAGACTGGCGGATAGATTACTGGCTCATCCATAATAGTGATGTTGGGATGATACTAAGTAGTTGTTATTGTGTGACAGAAATGCCTGAAACTGTCTGCTGGTGGCATCGTCAGTAACAGGCATAGAGTTGGATTTGCTTTTAATACAAGTAGTTATACAAAACAGGAAAAAAAAAAGTATATTGCTATGGTTGTCTTTTGAAGTATTAGATTAAGTTTTATAATAAACAATACTTCACACATAATATGAATATTTTTAATAGGAGGTATTGTTTGGGTTAGTGTAGGGGTGGCAAATCGTAAGACCCTATCTAACATGAAGATAATTTTTGTTATTGACTTTTCCTAGAGAAAAATTCTATACTGTATTAATATATAATCATATTGCCATGTTTTGAGCTTGTTAGCAGATTAATAGCTTGATTGAATTCACTTGTAGTTGTACATAGAGTTCAGTAAAGATCACTGTTAGGTCACATAATTAGACTTCTGTACACTGATTATGTCAATAAGTTATTGCAAGGTATGTGTGGCGTAGCTGGTGACAATTCTCATTTCAGGCAGTAGCAGGACTTCTGGCCGATGCTCGTTCTTTGGCAGACATAGCCAGAGAAGAGGCTTCTAACTTTAGATCTAACTATGGCTATGATATTCCACTGAAGGTAAGAAATTGGTGCAGTTCACTCAGATTTTCTGGTTTTCTTAGTCTTGACACGGAGAATTAAATTTTATTACTTGACACTTATTTACTCCTGTAAACAAAGTTTTCAATTTGTATTTCTTTTTCCTGCCTAGCATCTTGCTGATAGAGTGGCTATGTATGTGCATGCGTACACACTCTACAGTGCTGTCAGACCTTTTGGTTGCAGGTGAGTGTTTCAAACACACCCTTATTTGTAAGGATGTTTTGCTTCACAATTGTTGGAATTAATTTAGGTTCTCTAAGGTCTTTTTTTTAAACTTGGAATTAGTAACTTACAGTTCACCTCACAAACAGATTCCCTTCCCCTTTCTTTTTTTTGTGTGTGTAAAACCTTAGGCAGTGAATTCAGATTTACGTAGCAGTATGGCAGGCTTCTGCATGATTGCTAGCTTGTCCCTGAATGTTCAAGTTGAAGAGTTGATGCTATTAAGTATGTGACAGTGAGGAAAGCAGAACTTTACTCTGCAGCCATCCAGCTTGCTCGGGTAGCTAAAGAGTAGGTTAAAACTACTATGCAGTTTTAGTACAAAGGGACTAATAAACTGAAATCTGCTGTCTAGTTGCCAAAGACATTTTACTTATCTGTAACTTGCAGGTGCTGCTGGGCTGTCATGGCAATACTAAACTTCAGACAAATTGCTTAATAGTGTGTAGCAGGACAGTAGGAGTTTTGCTCCAAGAATAAAGGAGGAAACCTGAGTTGGTGCAGTCTGTAATTCAGTGTGGACTGGTAGAAAAAATGTTTCTAATTTCACTTTTCCCCTCCAGTTTCATGTTGGGGTCCTATGATGATGATGATGGTGCACAACTGTACATGATTGATCCATCAGGAGTTTCATACGTGAGTGTGTCAAAAATATTTCGTCTTGGCTTCAGTTCCCCATGTAAAAGTTCCTAATTAGGAAAATATTAAGTGTCACTCCAAAAGAACTGTTATTTTTTTTCCCTTTTTTCTTGGGAATATCTCTGGTGAATCACTGCTTAAAATAAACAGAGGTGGGGATTTGCTCATTTGCATGTCCTTGTTAAACATGTGTTGTGTATCTTGGAAGTATTGTCTCCATGTGATGAGTTTTTAAGCTTGTCTCTCATAAATTTGGGGGTTCATTCCACCTGGTTATATCCAATGAAGAGTCCCACGTGCTGCCCAAAAGGGGCAAGTTTTGTAGTGATACCCCATTCATTAAATACTTCAGGTAAGGAAGCGCTTCGGATAAGAGGGCTGCTACTCTGACACCGGCTGCTAACAGCAAGTCAATCAAAAGATACTTCTGTTATTTGTTGTTAGTGCTGCCTCTTCAGCTGCATATTACACACAGGACGATACACGCTCATACTGTTCTGATTTTTTTTTAAATTTTCTTTCAGTATATCCAATACCATAGCCTTTGAGGGAAACAGAAGTGCTTAATTTTTATGTGCTTACACTTCAGTACATTTTCATGATAGTGGGCTTGGGTGTGTTTTGATCCTGTAGAACTTCTCTAAATCTAGTTTGCTTTTCAGTTTACTGTATTAACAATTAAAAAAAAAAATCTCTTGCAACAAATTGAGCAGGTATGTTTCTGTCTGGGAACTAGTGAGCACTTCTGTTTTCTATCAACAGTGGTAGTACTTAATCTAGGAATGGGTTTCTGTTCAACAATTTGGAAATGTGCTCTGAGAGAGAGCAATAACAAGGTTTACTGTATGTTAGCCTTCTTGCTCTTTGAGGGGGGGGGGGGAGGGCTGGCATATGCTAGGTGACAATAAGAACTGTAGAGGGCTAAGTATTTAATTAAATTTGCATGTTTTTTGTTTGTTTTTAGGGTTATTGGGGGTGTGCCATTGGTAAAGCCAGGCAGGCTGCAAAAACGGAGATAGAAAAACTTCAGGTATGATGTTACAGTTTTGTTCTGCTGTTTCAAGACAAATATTCGGAGCTTATTGTGTTACCTTTCTGGATGTCTAAAATATACAAAATAAAGAAGAAGCAGATGGAATGCTTCCTTGTACGTTCTAGGAGATATTTTACCCTCTGTAATTTCTCAAGTCTTGCCCCTGGGCAACGGGCAGTTCATGGGGAGTGCATGTTTAAAACAGGAAGCATAAACATACACTCTCGTGCATGCCAGTGAGCAAAGTAATTGAGTGAATATAAAAGTGTAACTGAGTTTTTTGTTCTGAATTAAAACCCGAGGGCAGCATTTTACAGGGTGGTGTATCTATTTTTTTCCTAAGGTTTTAGAGGAACCTTTTGTTTAAAAAGTTGAAAAAAATTGGTCTTAAGGACAGTGAGTAGAACTGCAGAATACTGAACCACTGGAATGTTGTGACTCTAAAAATGTAATGGAGAACAATAAAATCCTTGGCAGGTAAGACAGTGCTTCCCAGCTGGCTAGTGCTGAGGTAGTGTCTTTTTTCAAAAGATCTGTCAGCTTGTTGCTGACTGTAATATACATTTCAAAGCAACTTTACGTGTTTGATGAGAAGGACTTCAGTGCTGTGAACACTAGGAAGAGTACAACTGTACAGCACACCATTGATACCAAAAAGAGCTGGTTCTGTTCAGCATTTCCTGCTTTCACAATACTGTAAGCTGTGAAGTGGCACAAAGAGGTTCTGCAGGTGCACAGCAAGAAGTTTTTTGTAGCGTTCTGAAGGAACGTACAAACAGTTGGCTGTGTAAGATGAATCTGTGGAGAGAAGGTGACTGAAAGGTACTGAAATGTGCCTTAAGCTAATTTAGAACTGTTAGAATCCTAAGATTTCTGTCCTCCTCTTGTGTTTTAATATCTGACACCCTTGGAATTGGAGACAGTTAACACAGGACAAAATCCTACTCCTAGTCTGTCTCGTGTAATTCTTATTTGATACTCTGCTAGCATCTTATTTGTGGTTTTGGTCTGCAGAAGTACATTGCAGCTGTTCATGGCAAGGCTCAGAGTTTGCACAGTTGTTACATTTTTAAGAGTAGTCTGTTTATGGTGCTGCAGCATCACAACTGAAAAATTACAAGAAAAATTAGTGTTTCTAGACTTGATTCATTCAGTCTTGAATCTGGTCAGATGCTTGAATACCAAATCAGAATTAGGAAGCCTACAAGATCACCTGATCATACAGGTATCTTGGCCTCTGAGAAATCATAATTTCAATTTCCATGTGTGCAAATTGGCAGGAAGATGATGTTGGATAATGTATAATTTACCCCCAAAAATACTCTCCTGTGCAGTGCTGGGATTTTCAAAAACTTCTGGCTTATTGACTGACTTTTGTACAGCTATTAAGTATGCATATGGCTTGAACTTTACAGTAGAGCCTGTAAAATTTAGTACATGGGAACAGTGGTGTGCCATACAGCCTAACTGCATTTAGTTATTTAAAGGCTTGTTTGCAGAGTGTCTTCAGTAACGCATATGATCTTGTCACAGCAATGTGAAGCAAGTCCAGTCTTGCATGCCGATACTTTTTGTTAACTGTTGACTGGGCAGGTTTCCAGGTCAGAGTTAATTTTGATGAGATGAATTTGTCAAAACTGAAATGGGAAAAAAGAAGCACAAAGGCTTTTGTGGGGTGATACCACCTACAGTAGCCTGTCAACTAAGAATTGTTCCTGTGGAAGAGGTGACTACAGGTGGAAAGTAAGAGGCAAGCAGGTAGCCAAAACTTCAAACCTGCCTTTCAGGTACTGCAGAGCAGATGCTGTATCTGGGAGGGGACAGAGTGCGAAACCCTCGTACGTGTCTGAGGGTGCAAACAGAAAACACTGCACTGATCACGTCTGTTGCATCTTACGTGAATGTCTGGTATCCTCAGCTGTGGGAAAACCTGCAGTCCTGTGGAAAGTACTTGAATCTCTTCTACAGTGTTTCCCATGCACTCCAATGCTACATACAACTTTCTGAGATATGGACATAATTGTAACTAACTCCTGTGTAAACTGTTACAGTGTTTATTTGCTCTTATTGTCAGCTGAATTAACATACCCGGGATGGGAAAAGGGTAATGGCAAAAAATAAATTTACTTCAGTTTTCTCTCTTGTAAATATGCATGATAGGAAGACCAAAAGGTCTACTGTTTACTAACTTTAGATGCATCAAGACACATAGTAATTTAAATGTTTGTGTGACACAAGTTGTATTTGTAGACAGCAGCCAGTGCTGTGTGTGCTACGGATGGAGTGTCATAAATGCAAGGGCTGGGGCAATCGGTCTCTCTCTGTTTAGGAAACTTTTTGGGATGGGACTGTGATGGCACGTCTGTCTAACAGGGCATCGCTTCTCTGCCCAGTTGCTTCTGTGTCCTTCACCCCAGAAGGTGCCGTGGCACTCAGCATGAACAAAGAACTGTTGTCATCTTAATTCCTTCACCAGTGTCTCAAAACCAGCTTCCATGCCACGGTTCTGAAAACATTTTGAGAATTGGAAGAGATGGTAAACTGCATTAATGAAATACAGTGGAATGTATTACTACTTCATAGTCTAGAAGAGTTGACTGGCATGAGGTTTGACCTAAAAAACATGACAGTTTATTATGCCATGGAAATTGGCACAAGACTTTGTTTTGATTAACTGTGAAACTGTCAAAAGACTCTGATATAACAGTGAGAAAATGGAAAATGAGATGCTGATACCTTGCTCAGGCATGCAGTGGGTTGTTAACACTGTAACAATATTCTCCTCTTAGGACATTACTTAAAAGTCAAAATGGCTTGCATAAAATGCTGGTAAGATTGAAAATATATTCATATTCTTTCTAGGTAGTATAGTAATTATAGAAAAAAATATGGTGCTTCCCCCATATTGCACATGTGGTGATTTTATGTCAGTCAATCATAAAGCATTTAAGAACAAGTCGAACTTTTACAATGCTAAGGTTTATCTGTTCAGTTTCTAACTTTCCAGCTGGTGAGTGCTTTAAAATGGGCAAGTTTCCACGTAACATTTTCTTCACAGAATCTTTCAGTTGTAAAATTCTGTAATGGAATTGCATATAGCAGGCTGAAAGACTCATCCTAGAGAGTAAATCTGGTTCTAGTCTTAACTTTTTGTCGCTTTTATCACCACTGAACACTAAGCTCATTAGGCATGTGCACAGCCACTCGTGTTCTGGCCTTGTGGAAATGGAAAACAGTATCTTCTCTTAAGCTGTGTATTTAATTTTTTTTGCCTACAGATGAAGGAAATGACCTGCCGTGATGTTGTTAAAGAGGTTGCGAAAATGTAAGTCTCCAACCTGTTTTTCCAACTCGACAAAAAACCGTACTGGTGAGCTTACTGTGGTTTCAAACTGAGGCTATTCCTTTTAAATTGGGTACCAGGTTTCATTTCTACTAGTGCTCATGCTGACTCTAGTATCTTCTGCTATTAATATTTTTTCTCGTCAGATGGGATATGCTACTCAGCACTGAAAAAAATGCTGAAGGATGTGAAAAATAAGCCTTTTGATGTCATCTACTTTTTCTTATAGGTATAACTTGTAGTGGCAGTGGATTAAACTGTCTGAATACAGTCACTGCTTTTAAAATATATGACAGGTGACAGATGGGGGAAACTTCTTGACATCCTGGTTCTGAAGAAAGAGCTGTACACTTTGTTATGCAGATTGAACCACAAACTGATGCTTCGGATGTTAAGTAGCAGTCCAGAAATAGAGCTGAGGTCTTTGACTCTGCCTTCCTACCTGCCTGAAAGAAGACTCAGGCACTTAGGAAGGAAGCAAAGTATAACTCCTTGTCTGAAGATGTATATAGGGTATAGCTGGTCTCATTTAAATGACAAATCTTGATACCACATGAAGAGACTGGAAGTATTTAATTTGCCATTTACTGATGCAATTTAGAACAAGATAGTGATAGAACCTCCTGTAGTCACTACTGTTACCCCACAGACTGTGTGTGAGGACAGTGTGCTTACAGGGGGGAAAAAAGGTACCATTCAGTAAGTCATTTATTAGTGAGGGGAAAAACGATACCAGGAAGAGAGAAGACTTTCTGCTAGGTAGGGCAGTAGTAAACTATCTTGAAAGTACTTTGTGAATTAGTATCTCATTTGAACAAGTACCCTTTCAGGTATCTACAACACTTCATTTTAATGCTTTAGGGACGTGTTCTATGCTTGTCACAGGTTTAATAATCTGCAGCTGCCAAACTGTAATCTCCAGCACTTTATGGCTGTTGCTTAGAAGGTTATAAAGAAGTAATAAATATGCTTCTATCGTTGGTGTTGCAGCATGTGAGCTTGATTGCAGAGTGTGTCAGTCTGTCATGGCAGCAGCTAGAGCAAAGAATTTGTAAGATCTCTGTTAAAACCTAGCAAGGACCTCAAAGTAGTTCTAAAATGGCACAAATAAGGCACAGATTTTCAAATAATTAAAACACTTCTGTCCTTTAATACTGCCTCAGCTCAAAACTTAACAGCAGCTCCAGCTATAGTTCTGTTTCTCAGCTCAAATTCAGCTCCTTAGTATCATCTGGCAAGCTAGCAAAGATTTTAATAAAGTTTTTAAGCCTAAACTTCTAGCCAGAGTCCAGAGTAATGATGATTTCAAGAGCTTGTAATGGTACACTTTGCAAAATGCTTGTAACTAGCTGAACACATAAGAAAGGTCTATAGATTACTATAGGCACTGATCAGTAAGTCCAGTCTTACAGTGACAGAAGGGTGTCTGAAGAACATAAGCATACAGTAGTATTTCCCTGGACACCAACATTTATTTGTTTCACAATATTTTTATCAAACTGTAACTGGAAGTACTCAGTGTGGTGCTGAAGGTATTCTGCTATCTCCAGGCTTTCTATTTTAGCTAGAAGCAGCTGGTACTTTTCAGCTTTTGACTTAATGCTTTCTGAAACAAACTAAGGAATACAGCATTAATGTGCAAAGCCACAGGTGGCTGTAAGTTCTACTATTGCTTTGAGTGTATGTCTGAACTCAGGGGTGTTATAGTTTGTTCACATGTTCTGCCACTGAGGACTAAATTCTGTGATGCATTCAGATCACTACGGCTATTCTAGTGTAACATCTTCATCCCCCAGACTAAGGAGTGATGTTACTAGTCTGGATGATACTCTCTGTGCTGTAGTACCATTTGTTGTTTAAATTCTGATTACCAGCATGTTTGCCATAAGCATGGCAGCCTAGATGGAGATTTATATACAGGCTTCTAATCAGACACAAGATATTACAGTGTTGGGATTTAGTCTTAAGTGTAAACTGAAATAAGATTTACAGGAGAAATACAGGACATTCCTAGCTGTATTATAACTAATCTAGCAGAAGCAGACGATGATGATGTAGCATTGGTTCTGCAGTATTTGAATTTTAATGTTCTAATTAGGGTAACTTGAACATCTCAATGTGCATCTTAGCTGTAATCATTTAATGTATTGTTATACTAGCAATTCAGCCTGGAAAATTCTCTCATGGTTTTTGTGTGTGTGGGCAGGGCAGCTTGTATTAGCCACAAGAAGGGTACCTCAAACAGAAATCTGTGAAAAGAAGAAAATATATTTAGTCTATTGATGAATGTGTTCTAATCTGTCCTTTCTCTGTTCCTTCCAGAATCTACATAGTTCACGATGAAGTAAAGGATAAAGCTTTTGAGCTGGAACTCAGCTGGGTTGGAGAAAGTAAATGCATTTCTGTAATTTCTGTAAACACCATAGCAAATTTATAACTTTTTGTAACTAAAGTAAAACATCACTTCTTAAATTCTCTCTGTATGTCAAGGTCTTTCTGTGACATTCTACTTAAGATGTCTTCTTTTTATTGGCAGTAACAAACGGAAAACATGAAATTGTTCCCAAAGACATTAGGGAAGAAGCAGAAAAATATGCCAAGGTAAGGCCTGACTTTGGTGGTGTTTCAGTGCTTTGCTTGACAAACTAAGTGAAGATTAGGCTTCTACTGTTGTGATGACTGGAAAATGTATAGTTACAACACCCACCACTTCAGCATTAACTGATGTTATTCTGAAGGGAGAATAGTGAAGTTTTACAGTGTAATCTAGGGCTAGTTCTTGCTTTCAAAAGCAGTGTAATTCAGCAAGCTTGCACCGGTGGCATGTTTCTCCTTCAAAAGTATTAACTCTTTTGTGGTAGAAGTGAGCAGGAGAGGTAGTAAGTCATGTTGCCATAACCACAGTTCTTAAAGATAGCCAGCTGGAAAAAGTTACACTTCCAGCATTTAAGACCTTTGCTTTTGTTGTAAAAGTAACTGTGGTGCTTAGCATTATGTCCTAAAGATGTAACCTAGCCTGCTGAATACAAGGCTTTGGACAGACTGAGAGGATGGTGAAGCTATGGCAAAACTTGGTTTGATTATTATACACCAAATTATAAGACAACTGTTACAAGTATTTTTTTAATTAAACTTTTTTTTTTTTAAATAGGAATCTTTGAAAGAGGAAGATGAATCAGATGATGACAATATGTAACACATTGTTACTTCAAGACAAGTTCAACTTTTCTTAAGTTAGACCAGGTTTGTTTATAATGTATTAAGCATGGGATGCTGTTATGTACTTGTTGAAAGAAACTGAGTGACCAACTTGCACTAATAAATTTTCCATTTTACGGTCTGTTAGCTTTTATTTCAAAGGAGTATAGGCCAGCGTCAACAAGATGCAACTGTACTCTGTATCAAAACCAAAACAGACATTAAGAAGGAAAGATACTACCAGGCTGGTGTTGCTTCCTCTTACTACAGCGCTCCGAGCCAGGCTAGGTACTGAAACAATGTGCAATTCATTCCTGGCCCCAGTCTGTGCTTGCTCTTGGCAGAAGAGATGAGAATGTATCAGCTGTTTTACAGTGAAGTTACAGGTGAAGGTGATGTGCACTGCTTACAACTCCCAACAGCCTACATAACAAGCAAGAATTCAGGAAAAGGAATTTTAATCTGAAATATTAATCCTGGGTTTATTTGAAGAGTAGGAAATATTAAAACCACATTCTATTTCAAACAGTGCTTGTGTTAAGTTCTAAAGCTGTGAAATCTGTTAAGCACTGTAACTGGCATTAACGCTCAAAGAGCTGAACTATTTTTAAACAGCTTCATTCAGGTTTAGTTTCTTAAATCACTTATGAATCAGCTTTATCAATTGCTGACCTTCCCAGGAACTGAAAACAAGGACACCTGTCTTCAATTCAAGTCTCATTTGTACCCACAGTTAAAATTCTAATGGTCATCTTAATCTAAAAGGCATACTTTTCCAATGAATCAAACTTCTCAGCTTTAGTACTACACAGTGAGCACCAGCCCTTAAAAGAAAAGCTTTTCCTTACAGGTTTATTTATTTTTATATAGACCTTTTGAAAAAATATCTGGCCTTCTACAGTCTCCCTTCTAAGGGGATTACAAGATACAGGGTCTACTTCCTTTTTGTGACAAAGGAAAATCAATAGATAGATGGGTCTGCCTCAGTACTTAGTGACTGTTTCAAGCTTAAGCCTTAGCTGGAGTCAAGCTACTCTTGCCTCTCCAGCTGAGCATAGCTTTCAAAGACTGCTGGAACTCTTGGTCAGGCCTGCCTGAGCTAACATGAATCATGACCATGACAGATGGCCTCCTTCAGTGTCTCCTCCTGAGGCAACAGCAGAGCAGTTACCCTGAGTCAGCCTTTCATTCTGTGGTGCATTTCTCCAAACTGAATTTACAACTGAAGCTTACTGCTGATTCAGCTGTTTGCATCATTAGTGAGTGCCAGTCAGGAAACTAATCAGCATTCTAAGCATTAGCTGAGGGCTGATCTTTCACTCATGTATATGACAGAACTACTTGATTCTCTTTGTCTTTAAGTACAGAATAAAGTGTTGCTGACAAACTGCTAAACCAAAGTTAAAAGCCATCCTCATGGCTACAACCCATCCTTTCAGTGACAGCCATGTGGGATTAGGGACAGGAAGTATAACAAGTTATACAAGCCAGGTTTCAGGGTTAAGTGAGAAGAGCAAAATCAGTCTTGTATATTTACAAGATAAAGTAGAAGGAAGATATAGGTAAGAACAAAGCCACTTGCTTGCTTATTCAGAATTTCCAAGTTGCCATGTTCCCTAGTAAGTAGCTATCTAAAGAGCTCCTTTGAAAAGCCATGCTTGGAGTTTTTGCTTGCTGTGGAAAGATGTAGAGTGAAGTCCAAGGAGAAGCGATTCAAGAGTGTGTGTTTTGCAGTGGATAGCAGCACATTAAGTGCCACACAGCAGTCTTGCCTGTCATGGCAACTTTTAGTTAAACAATACTGATGTGATGATTACTGTTGGAGCCTTTTCCACATCAAATCACTAAGACTATAGGCTCAACCTGTTTATGAAAACTGATCTTTGTCTAGGGTAAAGAAAAAAAATCTATTACTTCCACTTCTACTGACTGCAGCTGTGGAAAAAAGAAAAAAGTGAGCATTAGAAGGCAAGGAAAAAATACTTGCATTTATTCGGGAGATGGGGTGTGGGGTCAAAGAATAAAGCAAGAAAACACTGAGTATGTTATTTTAATACTGAAAATTTCCTATAACTTTAGAATCAGGAAGCTAGCAAGCATCTATTTGATCTGAAATTAAGCATTGCTACCTTTTAACAATAAGCCCCAGGGAACATTAGTAGAGATTCCTAGTCCATAATGACTCTCTCTTCAGCAGAAAAACTACTGCAAGCTCCCCATTATAACTATTGTTGTAGCCTTAGCATAGTTGCAGTTCCAACTGGGATAACCAATGAGGCAATGACATTGCATTTAACAAGCCACTTACTAATCTGAAGCTAGTTACTTAAAGAATGCTTAATTGTATGATTGTGCAGTAGCCATCCTAATGTTTCACTGATTTAGTCCACACCTGATGGGTTAAATGCCAACTTTAATGAATTTTGTGTCTGAGAATTAGGATTTACTTGTTCCTGTGTCGAACAGTAGAAATTGAGCAGGGGAAGAAATCTTCCAAGAAGAGCGAAGTGGCTACTTAAGGCAACACTGACCACAAAGACTTAAAAATGCAGCGGGACAGCACAGTATCATTGAACTTTGATGAAATGTTGAAGACCATGGGTTTTTTGCTGAATATAGAGAGCTGTCTGAGGCAAAATGCTTGGTGAAAGCTAAGCTCCAGCAGGGCTCAAGCTGGATCTGAGATGATTATTTAAGTGAGGACTAGATCTGTTACAGAACTAGAAAAAATAGTATTAATCTCAACAACAACAAAAGCTTACTTTTTTACCCTTCAGTCTTAAATAGTCTCTAGGAGGATGAGCTTGCTTTAAGCCCAGAGGACAACAACTGATCAGGTAGCCAAAACAAAGATTTGAAAGCTTCCACCAGCCAGTCTCCTGTAGCTTCAGCTGTGGGGGTACGTCTGGAGAAAGTATGTGTGCTCAGCCTGCAGAGTAGCAGCTCTGGAAGAGCCGTTCCTTGAGACAATATCAAATGCACTTAACTAAACCCTACTGCTTTTGAGTAAGCTCACTGTGAGAGCAGACAGTGTCAGAACATGCCAAGGGACTAGGGCAGCCCAGCTGGCTGACTCAATTCAGAGCTGCAGGCCCAGTACAATGGCCCAGAGTGACAGCCCTACCAGCAGCCTGTGACAGTGGCCTCCAAAGGCTCCCAGAACCAGCCATCACTAGCAGAGACAGCATGCTGTCCTGCCAAAGTAGAGCTTGGATCCTCTTCCCTAAAATTAAAACTCGCTTTTATAATTGGCTTGAAAACAGTCAACTATAACTTCAGCGTAACACTGAAATGTAAAAATGCATTGCAGGCCTAACAGATGGGCAGGGTAAACATTTCCGGATTAGAGATCTGAGCAAGAGGTGGTTCTTAATAGTCTTATTTTGATTATTTCTGCCAAAGTACTGGGAAGTTTCAGTTTTGAAGAGATGAAAAAAAAACACCTACCAAGCAGCACGTTTTGCTTCAGGCTCCACAAGTAACCTACTTAGTCCAGACTGGCCATTTATGGGAATAGCGTAATAGCGCAGAAAGTCAAATACCCACTTGGAATGCATAACTGTAGTTCTTGCCATGCTGAAACACTTCAAGCTCAGAGTTTTGATGGCATCTTCTGTTGCTTAAGACACAAAACACAGGCTTTAACAGAACACCAGAAAGGGAAACTGTACAGACCAACTCATCTCTTAGCGTAAAGTCATCCCTCCACCAAGGAGCATCTTAGACATCCAGCAGTGACACAAGAGTAGGCTCTACAGCAAGATACTTCGTCTCCCCTTAAGTCTCATACATCCTCTGACTGTTACTCAGCACCTGATGAATCACTGCTCTGATATTTAGTAAGGCTGGATATTTCACATTCCCTGTTGCAATTATTCAGTCAGCAAGTCCACGTACAGAAGCATTGTTCAAGAGAATTAAGGCAGAGGCTATCATTAACCACAGATAACAAATTTTAAAAAATAGGCTCCAGTGCCTACTTTACTTCCAAGCATCTCTATGACTGCACTGGCACAGATTTTTAGAATATGCAACTGGATTGCAGAGTTCAAAAATTAAGTTTAGGCTATTACATCATAATAGTAAATTTTCATTGTTTGTACTAATTTTACCCCAGCTAGTAGTTTTTATGGCCATGTATCATCTTCATTGCAACTGACTAGTACTGCTGATGAAATTATGGTAAGACTGAGCTGTTAGAAGTTCACAGAAGTAACCTATATGTAAAATTTCCTGTGTGGCTGATATCCATAAGGATATCTCTAAAAGAAATACTAATCTGTATTTGGTGCTGACTCTCAGAAAGGAAACATTTAAAACAATTTGTCTCATGCAAATCTGAAGTATGCCAAGCATCAGGTTATTTGTTACTTCCTTCTCCTAACCAAAAATAGCTTGATGGCCTGAGGTTAGAAGCCCCACATGCTGAACGTGTGACTGTCCGTACAGACACAACACTGCTTGAGATACTATCTTGGCTATATAGTCCAAGTCACCCTTAAGGAAGGAGATGTGGAATAACTACATGTGCTGTTTTGCAAGTCTCTTCCTAAAGATAAAACTGTAACCATACAAGGGAACACAAAACATTGAATTCAACAGTGCGTCGTAAGCTTTTATCATCTGGAAGATAATGACAACCTTAAAATAAACTGCAGAGTTTCAAGATTCCGAAGAGAAAAATAGTATTAGTTGTCATGACAATTTTGAGACTGTAATAGCACCAAAAATATAGTACGGAGACTGTTCTCTCCCCCTCATTTTCTTCAGTTGTGTATGCCTATAAGACAAGAACTAGCTTTTCCTCCACCCACCAGTTTTTCAAGTTACATGCAGCAAGGAAGTTACTTTTACTTAAGAATTGAGAGCTATTTTGAGACACAACTGCTTGTAACTTTCCATCACAGAAAATCTTGCTATCTATTAAGTCTAATTATACAGTAGCAGAAAACAGGTGGCAGAAGAGGTAAGAGTGTAGCCTTACTGTTTGTCCAGTAAATACATTCCAGTATTTGAGAATGGGATCTAGAACCAAGCTCGAAGCAAGTCTCCCATTTCCAGATGGACTAAGCAACCACCAATGCAGTGTTCTTTCATCTTCGGTACGTTGCTATTAAAGGACTGTGAAATAGTTGTT